ATATCTACCATATCTATGTCTTTAATTTCACACAAAAAAAATTGATAATCATATAATTATTACAATCACAACTGAGGATTTGATTGCTTCATTACTTTTAAAAAGTACAGTTATATCCCAACACCAGACTAAATGCCATACTATATAGTGACTTGTTGTGAATGTAGTCTATATTCACGTAACGATGATGTATCCACATCACTCCGTTCTTTTCTTCTATAAAGAGAACGGAGTAAAGGTACTTGATGATATCTCAACACCTTCTTATGGTGTAAAATGCTAAACAGATGGCGTTTAGACTACACATGCACTTCACAACAGCGAGTTAATGTTTTTGAACTGTCAAACTATATAAAGTTGTACACACGACTATTTTATCGGTAAAGCAAAAGTTTCATAAAAATTAAGTAGCAGTAAAAGTAATATGTAGCAGAATAAGCATAGTGGCAGCGTATAATAATACAAATTAGTGACATCATCTAACAATGAACAGTAGGGATGTATATCATACAAACAACCGAAACGACAGCTAACAGCACCAAAAATTGAAAGAAGTATTGCATATAATTGCATATAATGTCTCTCTATAAACATTTGCATTGGTGCAAAGTGTTTTCAATTAAAATCAAATTATAAAATCGTTTCTTAACCCAAGGCTTTAAACTTCTTTCTCAAATTTCTCAAAGTTGAAATGCACTTCTAAAGACTTTTTCGCTGTTATTTTGGAATAAAGCACAGGTATGTGTATGTAATTAGTTACTAAAATTCTTATTTCCCAAAAACAAATAAAAATTTATTATATGCTCAACCAGGCTTAAGTTGTTTATCGGCTAAGCATAAAATCTTCAATTTTTAAGTGCTTCAAAACACATTAAAGTAAAATATTTATATCTGCTTTAGCATTAGGTTCGGTTGATTCAGCTACGCGAGTAACAATAAAATAATAAATATTAATTTTTAGCAATAAAATGTATAAAAACTTGTAAAACTTATTTGTTTATGAACATGATACACTTGTTGTTGATAATGAACGTCATTATCATCGCCTTAATGATGCGGCCACAGACTGGCAGATGTTATTGTGGAAGTGTTAAAAAAGTTAGATACGCTGATGCAAAGATACATGATACATAGATACATAGATACATAGATACATAGATACATTGTTGTTTAAGTATTGTTTTGATTCGTTTTGTTTTTGTTGTAGATTATCAAAATATAATAAAATATATTTGAGTCATCGTGTATGATCGTGTATGTATGTATACAAAAGCGAAACTATTTGTTTATTAATAAATTTATTTATTTTATTAGACGGAAATAAACGCATAAAATGTATAGAATCATAAAAAATGCTAACAATAGTAAAAATAATTGTGAGCTCATGTGCATGTCAATGTCTGCGCAGGGAAGATGCTCCAAAGTTGCTAACTGCCGGCTATCTTGGTAGCAAGTACAGTACGGCGGTTTGGTGCGGGACATCGCTGGCACGGTTAATCCGTTTTCAATGTAGCATGGCTAAGCATTGACATTTGAACATGTCCGGAAGTTAACTGGAAAGTGGTAACGTTGACCAAGTGCTCATTGTTAAAATGCGCCATCACTGATTCATTGCAAATGCTGTTGACACTTGAACAGAATTATTTGCTCGCCACTTAAACCTCAAATTCATGCAGCATAAACATAAGATACAAATTACTTTTGCAGATTCTTAATCAGATAGTAGTCTAACATATGTATGTTTATATTTAGCTATGATAAATTGTGTCTTTTGAAAAACACTGACATATTGTACACAAATCTACTGAACAAAAATAGATATTCATCAATAGTCAAATTAAGCAACAAATTAATCAAACATGTGTTTTTTATTTGTTAAATATTTGCATCTTTTTTTTTATTTTTGTTTTTGTTTTTGTTTTTGTAGCCGTTTAATCGAACATTTTTAAGGTTTGCTCGCATCTGCAATTTGTGCAGAGTTTTTTGATTGATGAAGCTTATATGGCTTATATGTGCAGTTTAGTTGCTATTTTGTCGAAATTGTTAAAATTGTTGATTTTGACTGCTATTTTAATCCTCTTTGTGTAGTTAACACTGCAAACTTAATTTTGATAAATTATTAAAATTTGTTTTCGAACTTGTGTGGTCTATAAATCATATTTTGAATATGCGTTGCAATAATGCTACGAAAATATATTGTGATTAGATATTTTCCACATTAAACGTAGTTCATGAACCTCATAAATTTTTAAGGTGCCTGCACTATTTCAAGGTAACTATTTTAGTGTTTATAGCTTGGTAAAAAACTATTCTAATCAAAATTTCACTTTACGTTTTTTAATGAAGAGTATAAAAAGTATTAAACTAAAATTAAGCCCCATTAAACAAAGGTTCTTAAACGTTCGACTTCATTTACGATAACACAATATGTCAATATGCCTTAGTGGATCCTTAAAATCAGTGGTATAGTTATAGTAATTATAAACTTTTTAATCGCAACTATTATTTTGTTAAATAGCTTAACAGCTGAAGAACAATATATATACAACTCTTAATTTAGGTCGTGTGCGAGTTAGGCTAAGTTGGGTTCTAAATGAGGGAAATTCTAAGTTGTGCCGATAATATAGTGATGTGTCGATACGTGTTGATAAATGGCTAAATGTGTGCAGTGCAAAAAATCCTAAAAAATCTCCCATTTGGTTTAGCATCAACTTAGATTAAATTGAAGCAGTGAGTTTACATAAACACAAATATATCGTATATATATAAAATGTAGCCAATAAAAACTGTGTATAAGTTACAGTAGAGGTAAAGTACAGTAATTCAACATATTTTCCGGAAATTAAGTATCTTTCTATGATTTTTATTGTTCAATCAATTATAATAGCTAACAGCTAAGAGAATAAGAACTTTAATGTAATTGGTCATAACAGCCAGAGAGCACTTCTTATATTTTCAATTAACTAGGATATTGCAAATATCACAAAAAAAAAGAATCTCAAAGACTACTGCTCAAGTATTCTCTTCAAATTAATTTTTGGCAATGTGCTTGAACAGGGTACTAAACTTCTAATAGAGCGATGCACTGCGACCACAACAGATCTTTACACAACAGTTAACATTGACATAATAAGAATAAAAAGTCTAATGTAATTTTTCCTAACAAACTGACTGCAGTTATAAATTCGATTGACTGTATTATTGTACTGGACCCAGATGAAGACATTGCAGAGAGCGCTTAATATTTTATTATGCTATTCAGTTTCTTTCCTGTTAGCTTTCCTTGATTTTTTTTGTCAAGGGACTGTACAGAGTAATAAGCTTCTATTACAGCGATACACTGCGATCACAGTAGATCTTTTGTGTCAGCAAACAATCCTAACCCAGCACAAGACACTCCTAAGCCAACAAAAATGTTTTCCGTTAAAGATTTTTTAATATTATTTGGTAATGAAAGCTCCTTTAAAACCGAATAATCATAAACAGTATGACTAGACATTATATTTCCTTTAAAGTACATAAGCCGCATTCTGCCTATCTTCTTTGAGAAAGTAATGCAAACTGTTGTTAATCTTCTGTTGGCAGCTTCGAATCTTTTCTGCTAATGAGTTATACTTCACATTGGTGTACTTAAAGAATATAATTGACTTTTTTATTTAAATAATTTGATATGAACATCAAATTTTTCATCTTTGCAATCTTTGCTTAAATAATTCTGTATAAATTCCTGTTGCTTTACCGTAGTTATAAGGACAAAATAGGTTTGCGATTACCTATTATTGCTTGCCAGTTGGTGCAGTATTTCATAGCAGTCCGTCAGGAACTCTAAAGGGAATATGCAAAATAAACAATGCTGTGTTTAATGTTTGACTAACTGTGCCTCTACAAATATTGGCGCCTTTTTAACATTTGATTAGGTTGACTTAAACATAAACCTCAATAGCATGAATATTAGCTTTGAAGACAGTATGTTATAGAACCAGCGCGAGCGAAATTCAAGACGCACGATTCTAAACCAAATTTTACTTAAGTTTTGTAAACATCAGTGCACCACTGGATCATTTTTAGCTCTAAACTAGGGCCATAACTTTTCAAATTCATATCATCGACAATAAGATCTTTAAATCACCTATCAAAACGAAATTTCATGTTTAAGCGAGATATTTTAACGCAAATCGTTATGTAGAATAAAATTAATTAATTTATATTTATGTCTTATTCTTCCTTTAATAGCACTTCGATTTCATAAGGTTTCTATTAAATGTTTACAACACATTAACTTCAAGTTCAGTCAAATCCATTTTCATTCAATCACATTTCTTCTACATACAAAGTATTTATCATAGTAATATTATTAATATTCGTCGAGATACTCATTAAGTAAGTATGTAAGTTCATGTTTTAAACTCCTTTTCAGTGTATATTTTTAAAGTCATGCTGGGTAAGAATTTTAGTCTATAAAATAAATTCTTTTCGATTTAAAAGTACTTGTGAGACAAATTTTACTACCTTAAGCGTAGTAGCTTTAAATGTACTATTTTTTTAATTTTATAAAATAGGAATTTTATATCATTAAGCTGCATTAAAAAACTTTCAAGTAATTTAAACTTAAAGTAGCAATTAACGGGGATATAAAGAGCGCCACAATATTTCCTTTGCATGGAATAAAAAGTATCTCAAACCGACCGCACACAGCAAGAGATTTTTATCTACTAAGCAAATGCCGAGGAAGGCGTTAAACAGTCATAAAAATTATACGTCAACCTGCGTTAAAAATTGAACATTTTCAGAAGTAGTTAGAAATATTCAAGCACTATACGACGCACATTAAAGCGAAAATAAATAATAATAATAAAAGACAACGAATATGCCTCAATTCATTAGAAATCCTATAAAACGCTTGGTTCCTGCAATTAATTCGATTAAACTCCAATGTTGGCTTTAATTCTTTTTATATGCTTTAAATATAAAAAAAAATTTAATTTAAATACTTATTTTTTTTAAAACCATTGCGTTAGATTACCAAAGCACGGTGAGTTATTTCGAAATAGATTGCTGATCTTAAAAATATTTAAATATGTTGAGAAGAATGTGGCTACAAGTCCAAAAACAAGCACTGCCAGCGACATTGATATATTGCATTGTAATCGTCGATAAGATTGTACTAGGCGTTGCCAATAAACCCGTAGTGCACTCTCTGTCTCTGTGGAAGATATAGGTTCCAATTCCATACGCATCGGATCATAATTCAAATCCAATTTCATGCTACCGTAAGCTGCTTCAGTGGCAATCCGTTGGTGTGTGCGTACCATTCGACTTATGCGTCGATAAAGCAATGGTGGCAATATGAATACTAATGGACCAGATATTGTACCACCTACTACACCCATAAGCACATCAAAATCAGGAATAAATTCTGCAATTAGAAGCTCCAGTGCTAAAATAAAGGAACGTATGCCAATACGTTTAAGCGATAAAGCTAAATTAAAATATATTTATTTAAATGACGTATGTACAGATCAAACTTTTTTTACTCACCATCAGGCACCCTGAAATAGTTTTCAATTTGCAGAAAAAGAGCAGAGCTTCCCACAATCGTTGAAAAACACAACTGTAGTGCCATTAATATCAGTAAACACACAAGAGGCACACTTTTCGGTAAAGTTTCCAATATGTTCTCCGCTATCATTGTACCAAATTTATATGCTGCTATAATAGAACCAAATATGGCAATGGAGCAAGTCACTGAAAATGTAAAATATATTTTGGGTTTTAACTTAGGTATATATATCATATTACTAACTAAAAGTTTGTAAAGCTAAATTTGTACAATTTTCATAATTAAGAAAAAGAACTCCCGAAGGACTATTTATACTCTTTGACTATACTCTTTGACTCAGACTAGTTTTAAATCTCTCAATATAATTGAATTAATATTTACAGATAAAATTTGCTTTCTTTATAACTTTGATATGCGAACAGAGTCGATAGAGTTGATATTAACATATAAAGTTTACAAATATCTACTCCTATTTCAAATAACCAGTCTCATTTTGATAAATTGAAGGAAAAAAGTGCTTTTCATCAGGAGAATACATAGTCCTACAAGACTATCCTACTACTCTTCGAATTGCTTCCGTCTTTGGTATCCAGCTACGACTACCATTTCGCTGTGCTTAAAAAAGGTCCACATAAAAATCTATTAAATCAATAAAATGGTCATTAAAGAAATCGTTATGTTAATTGGAGACTATTCTTTTAAAAACTATTTTTTAATCTAAGACTAAGAAACTTGAAACTAAAGAAACTCAACTTACGCCTTTGTCTTTATTTCTGGTTCAGTTATTTTATATTCAATTTATTTATAAATTATTTTTGATAAATGTTTCTCACTGCGAGGGAAATGCTGCAAAAAGATTGGACAGTTACCGTCGTAAATGATGTGAATAGAAACGGATATCCTCACTTCATTCAAGTTTAGTAACCAGAATTATGAAAATTCAGATCAATCTAAAAAGCTGCTATAGGTGTTGGCTATCGAAATAGTCATATTTAAATATGAGTATTAAATCTGATGCATATATATTTAAAGTGTTCTCTGGCAGTGATTTTAGTGACAAGTACTTTTATCTGGAAAACTGAGAAGTTTTTCTATTCGAACCAATTCTGCTTTGTTTCTGTCCGGCACATGCACGGCGTCGCCTTAAATTTTTGGGGGCTTTCTTTTTTGAGGATCTTGACGAACTTCGAGACCTCCCTCTGTGTAGCATTATAAGCTTTATTAAAGGTTCAAGATGGATTTAGACCATGGGTTCTAATAATACGGTATCACAATGGGCCTATAGGCCTAAGTGGATCCCCCTGGGTTCGCCGGTATAACCTAACCTAACCTTTTCTATTCGAATGTTTACTTTAAATTGAGAAATTTTTTTTAATATATTAACAAATTATGTAAAATTTATATGTATAAATCTCTAATAAAATACGTGATACATATTATAATTTATATATGTATATAGAACATTTTTTTGACGTACACACAAGCAAATAATCCATTAACAGGTTTTTTTAATTTCGTCCTTGGAATTCTTAAGAAAAATGTGTAAAGAAATTTGCACTTACCTATGATCCCACCGAAGGCTGCCCAGCGAACTTGAGATTTTTGTTGCATATCGATTTGCAGTGTCAACAGCATTGGATGAATATCAAATTGAAATGCCAAAACGCTGTAACCATTCAAAACAGTCAGAAAAGGTGGCAAATCTGTAAAAAACCAATACAAATTATTCCAGCACGATCATTGTATGTAAATTATGTTAAACCTAAACTGATGCCTTCAAAAGGTTTACCAAGCGGTGCTGCATTGAAGAGACAAAACCACAACAAGATAACAATAATTATAACGACACAAACGGAAAGTATAGCCAAGCTTCTGTAATATAAAACCGAAAGAAACATTGTACTGGAATAGTTTCATTTTACTTTACACATATGAGTACATACCGCATATGCTTAGGACTTCCCAACCACATAAGTGGACAAATGAATAGACCGACAATTATGACCCAATAGCAGAAAGAAAACGTATAGCGATCATCACTGATGCGTTGTACAACAAGTTCTAAGTTTTCTGAAGCAACTACTAAATTTGGTATGCCCATAGCAAAAATGCTTAAGTCCAACAGGATGGTAACAAAAAGGCTCAGATATGGACCGTAAGCTAAGTCGGCAATTGCAGCATATGGATATCTTTTTTATAGAAAATATGCAATTAATTTTTATATTAATTAAGATTCCATGAGTGTTTTATATTAACCTGCTTTTCTGTACAATAGATGCATCTAATCTTTCAGCCATAGTCCAGCATTTACTTAATAAAAACGATGTATAGATTTGTAGCATTATTACAGACAACACCAAAGGTATGCCAAAAAATCCCAATTGCGCGAGTAGACTTGGTAGTGTTATCAACGGAAATACTCCAAATAAATCAATAACATATAAAATGGCGATGAAAAGTGTTAGATTCTCTGGTTCTTCATCAATTACTCGTAATTGAGGCAAAGCACCAAATCGACTACGTGTTAAAAATGGTAGTTGATCATTGTGTCGCTGTCGCTGGAACGCCTTGGAAGGACGTACTGCAACTTTACGACGCTTTGAAAACATTTAATTAATAACTATAAAACACTAAACAATTTTAAGTAAATTCATGCCAACTTAAAACTTTGAGATTAAAAGTGGAACTGAAGCCATTTCGCAACTTCATTCATTTCACATTCAACACATAACCAACTAAATGGTAACAGTGAGTTGTAGCCTTTTCTGCATTTCTTTTCTTCTGTTATAATATGCAACAAAATGCAACAGCTATTCTCTTTTCTAATGTAAAAGTGGTTTCAATTCTATATAAGAAGCAAAAATACTCTCTACAAGTACCAATATTAAATCAATCCAGTCATTTAGTTACCCTACACCGTTGACACTAAGCAAAGTCTAACTTTCTTTAATCACAAAAAACGTATTTCAATACAATTAATGTATCGGAATATAACCAATAATATTACGTATAATTTGCATATCTTCATGATTATTGAAATATATACATAGCATATGCTTGAGGATAATTCCTTACTCTGCCAATTTTTATATAGAAAATATATTAGAAATTCCTTCCCTTGTGTCTCTATCTCTATCGTTTCTTTAAACTCAGTTTTCACCAAAAGGAAAAAATATTATAGTATACTATAAGATCTGTTGTACTTTAACTGGAAAGAGTCTCCTAAGCTAACCTGTACTAATTAAGGCTATTGACAAACCTTCCAATAAATGAAATGCTCGAAAATCTCCAACCTTATTTGATTCAATGAACTAATATTTTACGGATCTTAAGATTATAAAACAGTTATCAAACAATAGCACGGGTTAATGATAGCATTTATTATATTATCCCTCTGACCCGTAGGTTTTTAGATACGTACACACTGGCATATAGACAGTGGTCTATTGTACTGCAGTCTATAGTACTGATATTTAAAAAACGAGAGTCGATGACTAAGCAATGCTACCAATATTTAAAAGAAACGATTTCACGCAGTATTATTTGAACAAATTATGGCATGCATAAAAACTATACTCTAGACAACTATGAAGACTTGTTTAAGTTGATACAGAGAGCGAATATTACTCGATCCCAGAAAAATCATTGTTCCAGGCGTAACTGGAACACCTTTCTTAATATATTTCTTAATATACAAGAGTTGAGTAAGTAGGCCGTGTGCGAGTTCGAGTAGATTGATTATAAATTGAGGGAAATAGTAAATAATGTCGATATGGTAGCGAATGTTGGTATTTACCAGAATTTCGAATAGGGTAAATAAAAATTTTATAAGATCTTTAATGATTAAATAAATAAATTTGTAAACTTTTAACTAAAAACAATAAATAAGTGTAATAAGTAAATATACACATGATATACATATCATGTATATATTATATATAATATAAATATATATATAAATATATACGCCCATGGCCATAAAAGCATATCAATTAAACGTCCTGAACGTCAATAAGGTACAATTAAATTTACGTTTTTGTGGAATATAAATAGCTTTATTAGGAGTTGCATACCACAATTTGTACGGTATTCCAACAGTTCTTGTTCGACTGCACTAGTTTTAGTACTCATTTCCTTTATTTGCAAATATCTCTTTTTAACATATTTTTCTACATTACAATTGCGGTTATCATAAAGCATAAACAACAAGTTTCAAGTAGAAATTCAATATTGTTTAAATAACAAAGCACAGAAATAGTCACTCCGTGTTTCTCCACATCGTGAGCACCCCACATTTCTGCAGCTCACGTACTAAAGCAAAGGGCGAGAAGCCCTTGAGTCACAATTCGCAATGTCAATGTACCATAAAAATTACAATTAAACAATTTCATCTCTAAAAAGCATAAAATATTTTATTGTGGAGAAAAACGTAAAGAAACAATAATTTTTTAATTTAAATAAAAAATTCTTAACTAACAAAAGGCAGACAGAGGAAGAGGAAGACATTTATAATGAGTTACAAAGGGGGATGAGTTCATTGCCTTAGTCGGCGCTGTTAACTCAACTACTTGATTTCGTTTTAGACAAGTCAAGTCAAAAGCAAAGTAGAAAATGAAGATAGCTTAAAAGTAGAATTTAGATACCCACTCGTAGTTAAAAAATTCAAAAGAGAAGTAATCGACCGACCTTCACATTAACAATTTAACTTTCTTTCACATGCGAGTATAACAAACTGAAAGAAGTTAAAGTCATTTTATAATTTACAAAAAAAAAAAAAAAATTATAGCCAAATTATTTTTTTAGCAATTCATCATTCATTCTTAGAAATTCCGTTTCATCAAAACCATAGTTATTTTTCGTTGCTTTTGACAGAAAAAGGAGCAGAAAATCAATTTGAAATCTTTTCTTATTTTGGCATTGCTATAACACAGTAGCGATTTGAGATACAAAAACTCACTTGAGATAAAAAAATTGCCAGATAAAAGATATTGTTAAAAAGCAATTAAATAACAATAACAGCAGCTGCTGAATAAGAAACCTAATTTTTAAATCAAGCAACAGAAAATAAACGAAATGTTGTAAATACTAAAGTGTAACAAATTTCGCAAAACTTAAAAACTTAAGAACTTAAGAAAATAATACAAAATTGCACAAAATATCAAAGAGTTTAAATATAAAGACACATGTATGGGCACGCAAACATTTATTATAAGTTTTATTTTTTTTCTTCTATAGCATAAACAATTGCAATTTATATGAGAAATAGCTTTTTTTTGAAATAAGAACAAAGTATATACAAATAACTTTTATACTTATTTTTTCTTATATAGGAATGCTTTTGTTAACAATATATTAAATAGATAACATAAAAAATATAATTTTATAAATTAATATTGAGAAATTCTTTTCCATAAATTCTTTCTTTATCACGATCAGAGAGCCTTACGTTATTAACTACATTAAGTTGTACTTATAGAAGTTTTAAGATGTCTTTCATTTGCACATCGAACTACCATCGTGAAGCCGCTTTACACCGCTATTTAGACATCTTGTGGTGCAGTGATCTTCATTTTTTTAGACTTTAACTGAAATAAACAGAAAAATAAATCAATTAGTAAACAATATAAAATTCGTTGATAATTAGGCATAATAAATTCTTCAGGATATTGTCTTTTCAATCCAATTTCCTGTTTGTAACATTTCAGCCCTGAATTAACATTATATGCTTATCATTCTTGGACTAAAAAACTTTTTAAACATAATTACTCAAAAAACTAAAAAAAAAAACATTTTTAAATCCAACGTCCATATAGTGTGGATGTAGTATACCATCTAAAAAGCGATTGTTTGTTGTTATTACTGTCCATGGAGATCTAACATATACAGCAGAAATCATGAATGGAATTACAAGACGAATACATGGGTTAGGAGGAGTGTAAAGATATCGGGGAAGAAGAGTTGTTGGGTTAGGAAAGGGAAGGAAAAGGGGGGTTAGGATATCTAAATTGAAATTCGCCAGAACCAGAACTCTTGAACCATAGAAATCATACAATCATAGAGCGGAAATAATTGTGCTTATGGGCAGGATAACAGATGAGCAGCTTTATAAGAAGTATAACAACAGTTGACTCACACCTTGAAAATTCACGTGTTAATGCATTTCAAGTATTTGTTTAACATATGATCGTATCTTGTAAGGAATTTAAATAAAAAGTTATTATTTGACGAGTATGGCAGCTTTCTTCTCGATTCTCAAGGCTATACGTCAACAAAACTTAATTTCTCAAATATCGAGTTTTAAAGTTGGAAATTATTAAGTGAAAACCACCAAGTAAATATTTACTAGTTGGTTTGGCTATTCTTTTGTGTGATTAATGTAAATAATAATTAATATTAGAATGTGCTAAATAGCAAGTATAATCTTTGGTAGTGTTCTTTCTTAATGTAAAAAATGTACAACTCGATATCCAGTGTAGTGAAAAAAAAGTTATTAAAAATAGCTGATTTTACTAAAATTGTTTTCTAATTGACGTACCTATGATAATAAAATCACACAGATGAAAGCAATAAATAGCTAACTATTTACAGTTAATCCTGAATATTATTTACTAAAAATACAACATATTTTGTATATGTTACCCTAGCAATATTACAAAAATAAAAATATAATTAACATACATTGTAATAAACATATAAAGACAAAAAAAATTTATAAAATATTTTTACAACTTATAAATATAGTTAAGTATTGTATTTTTAGTACCATTGACTGTTTATTAAATACTATGAAAAAGTATTGACATATATATTATATTCAACTACAATTGTTGTTATTAATTGAAAATTGATACATTTTCTAACTTACATGTTCGCCTTCTGCTACGACATCCGTCACACCACGTTCTGTTGTAATAACTTGTACAGCTTGCCCTGGTCCATTGCGGTTAAGAAGCAATTTCTTGCCAGTCTTGTCACTTTCTCCACAGCAAAATACTTGTGTTGCTTTGCGATTATCTAAATTAATGCTAGTCAATATATTTTTAATGGAATAATCTGTCTCATCCATATGCTCTTCTTCATCCATAACAACAACGTTATTACCTTCTTCATCAGACGAAGGCGTATTGTCATTGGATGTTACATTTAAATTAACTTGATTAATATATTCAATAGTATAGATACTTTGTGCGGGGCGAATTAAGTCAGTTATATACTTACTATACTCCACATTGTTAGCAATATGGAAAATAGTTACATAATTAATTTTTAATTATGGACATTTATTTCAAAACAAAATGTTTTAAATTAAACAAATCAAATTTTTTAAATTCAGATACGTACACTGAAGTCAAGACTTAACTATATAAAAGGATACTACTTGCTTTGTTTATATAATCAGTAATAGAAGGTATGTTGCCTAATATGTATTTCTAAATTCATGCATTTCTTTAATAAATAATTTTTTTATTTAACATATAACGATAAAGAACAGTTGTCATTTATCAGAAAAATAAACTCACACTCCATAAAAAATTTCCATTGAAGTCGTAAATTTTGTTGGCTTTGTTGAAATATCTCTACAGAGTGCAACTTTTTAGATTTATTACGAGTGCAATACCGTCATCTGAAACTCAATATAAAGTTAGTAGAAATTATAGCGCTGGTTTAATACAAATAATTTTGATTATGAATTTCATGCAAAGTTAACTTAATTTCAATTTTAAAATACCTAATCTTTGTGATTGAATTATCATTATTTAATTATAATATCTAAAACATAAACAATAAAAATGAATAATTTTGCTTATTTTGTTTATAAAGCAATTTTCTTCTCTATTAGTTTTTTTATGATATAAACCATTATAAACATGGTTTTCTACAAATACCCATAAAGCAAAATGGTAAAAAATAAAATTTCTTCATAAGCCGTTCTTTTACAATGACGTTAAGATTAAAATGGAAATATATTTAAATATATATATGTTGCGCCTTTTCCGAGTTAGTGCATCTGGGCACTTTTACTCTTTGACAGCAGGGGGGTTTCTGCAGAGTCCCACCCATCTCACTGACTAATTTGTGTATTCCTCATAAGCTTCGTGATTTTTCAATGACTAATCTAAGATCTGTGTACCGCCCCGTGCGGTTAGTGATTACTCTGAGATTAGTTAATGCTAAGTAGGACAGCCTATCGGTTTTCGTATATAGCTTCAGATTTATTTTTATATGTACTTAATTATCACATACAAAAAATTAACCTGAGGTGTTTCTTCCTCTAAGAGACGTTTTATTTTTATTAAAACTTCAGAAAAATACCTATTAAAAGATTTCTTCAAAGAAATATATTATTCAGTGCACGTATCATTAGTTTCTAGATATATATGTTATAATGATATACAGATAGCAATTATTTAAATTGTTTTATTTTCATTTACTTACGATTTGCAATTATATAGTCCATTTTTTCTTATGTATTCTTCCACCAGTTCATCAAGTATATACTTCACAGACTGCCCACGCCAGAGTAAACGTCTTATCATAGTAGAGCTAACCTCGTTCGGAACCCAATTGGTAATGAGAGTTATGTTTTTCTAGAAACATTATATTAAAGTAAGTAATATAAATTATAAATTTACTAAATGAAAATACCTGATATTGAGTTAACACATCACTTTCAAATATAAACTTGTCTGGATTAGAACCACTTCTAGTTATAACAACGAGACCATGATTAGCTACAATATCTTCAATCTATAAACTTAAAATATTAACAATTTTGAATTTGGGATTTAATAGTTTTTTATTACATCTTCATTAGCCCATAAACCGGGTGTAGCAAATGACTCTAATAAGTCGGCACCACAAAGTAATCTAAGTTGCACCCGATCACATCGATCCAGCAAACCATTTGGCAGCCAACCAGGCAATTTATTATTGTCATTTCCTCCATTGATGTAATTATTAATATAATTTTGATGATATTGTAAGACTTCTATTGTGCGCGACCACTTTGATTGATGCATTTCCCAATCGGACACACGTATCCAGTTTGATGATCTTAATGCCAATTTAACCATTGCAATTCGGTGAACTGCTGTTGCTAAACCTTTTTTCCCATAACTATCGTGAGTTGGTGAAATGACTCCACCTAGCACTTGATGTGTACCTTGCATTTCAAAATAATCTCGAGCAATTTCTGCAATAAGAATTTAAATTTCTCAATTAAATTTATTTTCTTATTATTCTTTTATTTATACATACCAAACATACGCATATGCATTGGAGTTGGTGGACTAAAGGAACCGCATGCAATTAACACTAGCCTAGGCAACTGGCAGGTTTTCCTTATTGTTTCATCAAGTATTGTCGTCATATTCGTTGATTTTTGCTTTGAAAGTAATTATAATTATATATTAATTTCAATTAAATAGAAATATTTTTTTTCCGTCGTACTTGCTGTGACGAAATTCTTCCGAGTGCAAAATATCTTTTATTACTTTTCATAACAACATCAGCTGCGACAAATAAGTGATGCCAGGTCAGCATAAAATTTTTATTTACATAAATTGATAGATTCATTTTTAAATTTTTTAATCGTCTATAATTTTTTTATTCTAAGTAAATTTTCCATACAAAACACATTCGGATATGGTAAATATATCTTAGAAGCTAAAATATTTAAAAAACAAACATATATGATGTATTAAATATACATATTGTTTTTTGAAGTTTTTTCTCTTAATAGTTTTTTTCTTAATAAGGAGTAAAAAAATAAATTATTAAAACGAAGTCTATATCGGAAACCCTATTAATTTCCATCAAACAGTTCGTACATACTAACATTAAGTTTTTAAAATTAATTTATTACAATTTTTCAAAGAAGAATAGCATACTCCCACAGCACAAGTAATTGTAATTTTGATTATTATTTTAGTATTGCCTCACTTTACTAAAAATTTCGTCACACACTATATTATATATCTACATTTACACTAAATTCTGTGAATTTGTCAGGAATTGACAATTAATCAAGATTTTTATCAAGCAAAAAATTGTTTACTGTTCTGGACAAATCTTAACAAATTTCAGAGCTCATGTACCTAGTGCTTTTCACCGCACTATGGTGTAAAGAGTTTTGTATACCAAAAATAAAAGTAGTGTATGTGAACTATTCCATTGTATTATATTCATATCACATGCATCGGTAGTTATATTTTTTTAATTCGTTATTTGGTATTTAGAAATTTATCATGTATACAGATAACTCAAAAGTATTGTATATTTTTACACTACTTTAATAAATAATTGTAAAATCACTAATCATGTTATTTGAAATTTTATTATAATTATTATTATAACTATTTTTATATTATTATATATTTATATACAGTACTTTAATAAATAACTATAAATTCAATAATTATTCTATTTTGAATTTTGTTATGCATTCAAATAACAATAAAATATGCTTGTAAAGGAAATATATTTTATTTGTCAGAACATATGTCAACTTAACAATTTATCAACAAAAGAGCTTTTTATTTATAGCATAGAATACCAAAACCTTGACAAATATGCAATGTCGTAAATAATTGTTAATACTTGACGAATTTGTCAAATTCACAAAATAGAGCGATTAATCTTAATATTGAATTTCATATTAGTTTTTGTATAAATGTGCTAAAGGTTTTTTATTTTGCTTTATTTTTTTGCTGCACTATTATATTATGTGTGTTTGGTTTGAAAAATAAATTATAATTTTAGCTAAATTTTGTATGTAAGTGTAATGAATGAACCAAAAAAGCAATATCATAATCAAAATTACGATTACTATAATCTATAATTGCTATAATTAATATAATCTTACATTGCACTAAATACGCAGAAACATTCGCATGTCATATAATGCCACTCATATTCCAACTACAATTAATTATTCCACTTGAATTGACTGCAAGCATATATAATTGCAATTACAATAATTGCTTATTATTTCTGCATAAGATTTAAGTCTTTGATTATTATAGCATTTTATGATATCAAATATATTTGATAAAGAAATCTAAAAAAATCATTTGAAATTCATAATTAAACGAAATATATTTATATAAAAGAGTTAATTTAATTATATAATTTATACCAGTACAGCAATTCTACTAATAATAATAGTTTATTAATGATCCACACTTACTTTTACTTAACGATTATTATTTGTGTGTACAAACATACCAATATTCCTTAAACTTATTAATATAGACTGTTTAAAGTGATTCTGCTTAATTACTTTGACGTGTTGATTTCATTATTCCTTTTTAAATAATTATATTATAATTATGTCAACAATAATTACTTAACACTTCGAATTCTTATTTAACAAAAATACATCAACAAACGAATAAGAAATAAAAGAAACTGTTGAAAAGATTAATGAATTATTAAAATTTGACACAATAAACACAGAAGATTATATTTATAATAATTCCAATATATACTAAGGCAAAAACAAAAAATTTCAAATTTTATACATTTTAAAAATAATCTGTATGGGCGAAATATATTTAATTTTTTCAATGTGTGATTCCACTGTATTCCAATCATATGTTTTGTACAACAACTAGTGCCACTGAACATATACCACATAAATGTCAAATACTGTCATTGAAAAAATCAAATATGGCGTCGTCATATTAGTATGTTGTAAAAAAATTAAAATATCTTATATAGGCAATTAAACACATAATAAATAGTAATTGTGACGGAAAAAAATGAATTTGTGAAATATTTTTTAAGTATTTGAAAGAAAATGGCATTAGTGACGGTCCAGCGATCGCCCATAGCTGGGTCGCCGCGGTCCAATTCGGTGAGTGTGTCTTCGATGAACAAAAGAAAAAAATTTGCAATATATTTAAAATAAATCAGAAAATGGTATTAACCGATATTAATAAAACAGTTAAAAAGCAAAATTTTTCGTGCAACCATATGCAAAATGTATAAGAAGTGGTTTTTCTTCATATAAAAAAATATACAAAGGAAAATTCTTTCTTTTAAATGATTTTCCTTCTCTCTTTTACTTTCGTTTTTGTGTGTGTGTATTTTTGTTTTTGGTTCTCTTTGTAACAACAGCAATGTGCAAAAAAGGAAAAGTGCGTAAAATTGTTGGTTATTGTGGGTTGGGGAGGTGTTTTCGTAGTGACGACTCATTGTTGCTGTAGTGAAACGGACTAAAACTTCCGCTTTGCTTTTGTTTGTTTTTTTTAATGTTTTTCGTTATTTATATCAAAAAAAAAAGGAGTCGTAAATGACGGTAACTCATAGCTACTGTTGCGTTTTTTCCGTGATTGGGTTGTGTCATTCTAGCCTTTTTTGTGCATGAAACATTTATAAATTTTGTTTTTAAACAAATGTGTATTTATGTGTATATACAGAAACTGTTTATTTGTTCATAATTATTTATATTTAAATTTTTTACAATCCAAAAAAAACTGATCATTTCAAAAATGTAATATTTTTGCTAAAATTAAGATAAATGCGCACATGTAATATTTTTATTATTGCTACTCAGATATGTGGGCGTTTTGTCATCACTGCAGAGGATGACTGAGGGGAGCAGAGCACATTAGTGTACTAATTGTAATAATTTCGTTGGCCTTTTAAAGCAATTCAATGTTCTGCTTACAATTCTATTAAATTTAAATTTTTTATATCTTTGCAATGGCATTTTCACAAATTTTCTTGGCCTTCGTTATCATGTTTACAAATTGTTCATTTGTAAACATTAAATAAAAATTGTGATGTGTATGTATTAATATAAAAAAAAACCCATTATGATACCGTTTTAGATTTATTATGGTCCATTTTTTTAAATGAATAATTTGCGTATTCGGAAAAAGTCACACTTTGTTGGACAACCAAAGTACGTTAGAAAATGTATAACCTAAGGTGTTGGGTCACATGTTGTTCTTGATATAGCGAACAAGGGTCTGTAGACGCTTTTGGGATTGCTGAATGACATTTCGTCATCAAATTCAACGAGTGACTCAGCCGTAATAGTTTCGACTAGTTTCTAATATAATTTATGTAGTGACACTCTAGTAATATTACCACTGAAATATGCGTCTATTACTACATATACTTATTTATATCTTCTTCTATGTTAGTGGGAGTTAATACAAGCTAATAAACTAAATCTTACCAGTAGTGATAAATGCAAATAGATTCCAAAAACCAATTTCCATTCGCCATTTCCAAAAGAAACAATGCAAGCAGACTCCTGCGGGTCCCAATTACAACATTGCAAGAAGGAGGTTATTAAAGAAACTCTCTCTGGAATTTTTCTGTTTCAGCCCGAAAGATTTTAAAAATGAGTAAATTTTTTGAAATTACTAGTTCTAACAAAATTTGTTGTTTCTGATATTGTATTATATATCTTGTCTTCATTTATTGCCTTTAGATGTTCACCTTTCTTATTGTTATCTAACTATCAGGTCTATATGGAATCAGGTCTGGTTTAGCCGATTTTGCGAGAAATGAGCGCACTTGGTCGCCATAGTTGATGAGTGTCTCACGGACGTGCATCCAACTGCTCTTGGTACCTTTCCATCTATTTATAATCCATTTTTTATACCAAATGATTATCTTTTCTTTCACTCTTCCTTTACCTAACTATATCCTAATCAAATGTATTCGTATTTTCTTCTATGTTATTTGCTATATATATCTCCCCGGGGTAAAACAATAACTAACAATCTACCTATTAACTGTATGTTATCTTTTTCAAATTTTCTGTGCACACATCTACGACAAGATTATATTTTTTTTGAATTTGTTTTGAAAATGACAGATATGATTTTCGTGAAAAAGGATTTTTAAATCGTGGCTTTGCTATTTTGTCAGTTTTTTCATTTCCTCGTATATTTCGGAGATAGAGCGAGAGGTAACTATATTCATTTGATACGAGGTGTGGATTCGCCAAGTGTTTGTCTAATATGTAGGAAATAGTATGAATGGTTAGAAGGATTTACTATAGTTTTTTTTTATAGAACTTCTTTTTAGATAGCTATAAGTTCTACCGAGAATATGGAGAACAGAAGTTATAGATATTGTTTTCGATAGTGAAAATTCTGGTACAACTAGCTAACTTGTGCATAGAATGGATATATATTCCTCAACTTTACTACAATTATGTCAATCATGTCTCTAACTGGTATCGCTAAGGAGATTTGGGAGTATGTTTCTTCAATCTGCCTATCTGTTTATCCATTACTGTTTTGCAATGCTCATAACGTTTGCTTCCTTAAGTTTTCACAAAGTGTGGTTTTCCAGTATGATAAAAAGTTTCCATTATCCCCAATCACAGGCAGGTCAACTAGTTTCCCAAATTGTTCATAAGTCTACATCTACCTATTCAATTTCCAATCCCATTTATCATATTTTATGTTTGAAAATTATGGCTTAATAAACATTAAGTTGACATTGCACTCAGATATAAATATATATATTTAATTTCTATCAATAGAGTTTTTTTTTTTGTTTTGTACGTGTTTTAAGTATATTTCAATTGATAAGAGGTTTAAAAATTGTACTGATTATCTTGATATTGAGGTTTACGACAAATTTTATTTATTATTTAATTTGTGATTCATAACAGAAATTACGTTACTTCAATAGAAAAAAACACCTTCCGCTTCTAAAACAAATAATTTTATTGTATAGCTGCCTCATTATTTTTGGTTTGACTATATCAAAAAACTTTTTTTAATTGGGTTTTATGATTGGCAATGTTAGAAAATATTTATTGTTAAAAAATTAACAATTATTGTAAAAAAATGTATCCTAAAAACTATATTTCAACATTTATATTGCTTAAGGAAACAGCTTTGAGAAATGTAATTGAGTTCTCTGGATTTTTCAAGGTATGCTATAGTGAATTTGTATCATTTATACAAAACTAATCGATTAATCAGTAAAAAAAATTTTAAATAGCACCTTTTTGTACGACCTTTTGTAGCACCTTTTAATGTTTGACATCAAGTCATAAGATATTTTTATAATTGCAATTTTGTTGTTATTGTTGTAAACCACGGAGAGATCTGTCAGCAATTAACATGAAAGAAATTTCAAATACATATACAGGGATTAGAATATGGTTTAGCAAAGGAAGTGTAAGAGGGGAGATGGTTATTTAGAAGCATGAAGGAATTGAGAAAGTGATGGGATTTTAATTAAAGTCAATCTAGATCAAGACACAAGTTGGCATGTGCATGGGGATTAGGAAATTGGAAATTACGCATTTATTCATGACAAGTAACTGTTTAGTATATCGGTACATCCTGCTTTCACTTGGTCTTAGACAGTTCTTGAAGGCGTCGTTTTTGCAAGCAGATATTAAGCGGAGGCCAATTGAGGCAATGCATTCGTCATCTTTAAGAAGATACTGCTTCTATCCCTGGAGCGACCGGGTCTACATCCCGAAGCCACTTATTTATTTCGACGACCAAGTGCCGTTCACCAATCTCAAAAGGAACTATACCAGAAGTAATAGTGTCATATTAACATTAAAGTATTGATTTTCATTTTCTAAAAAAAAAAATTCAGTGGATTTGTAACCTTTGGTCTAGTTATATTGTGATAGATACTTTTAGAAAAAATTTTTAAAACTGAAGTTATGATCAAGCGGAATTCTGATATGCCAGTATCCCATAAAAACTTGGCATAATTAATTAAATAGTGGAAGCCATATGAAAGATATTACTTTGCTCTTTATTTATAATTGTTTAATTAATAAACCTTGCTAGTATTATCAAGATTTTACGAGCCCAAATTAAGTTAGAACATATTTATTTACTAAACAGTTGCTTGTACAAATATTGTTAATGTGTACCCGCAGTGCAAACTACAGACAGTAGCTATACATCATCATCATTCGGGAGAGCTTTAGCTGCATCAACCAGTTTTCTCCATTCTGCTTTGCATGTTGTTTTAGACCTCCAATTTCGGATACCCATTTTTCTAATGTCGTCGATTACGTTGTTAAGCCGTTTTATACGTGATCTACCTCTGCTTCGGTCGTTATACCTCTGTTTTCATTAATTATGTCATTAATGGAATAGACTTATTAACACATGATTCCATTTGATCGAAATTGGCTCAAAATCTATAATTTAGTTCATTACTTAACACGTCGTCTTTTTAACCTCGATGAATAGATCATCTGTTATTGTTGTTGTTGCTTTTCTGTTTAAATTTGTAAAGAAGACATTTGTATAATGCATACCATAAGCAACAGCACATAATGAATAAAAATTAATCGGAACTGTTTGTATTTTATTCATTATTCTTATCAAGTTGTAATTTTATACTGCACAATTTCACTACATCTGTACTATAATGTTATAATGAAATCTGTACTTCAAATGCTACGTTAATATCTCTGTAGTAAACAGATGTTGTCTATATTTTATTTACGATTATTCGAAATATATAATTTTAATAGTAATTTTATATGATATATTACAGGATGGTGAAGCGGATGACGAAGACGGTAACAGAAATGAAAAAAGGTGAATTAAATATTATTAATAATATTTTATACATTATTCCTTATTTAATATAAAATTTTTTCATTAACAGTGAATGCTTTTTTGCTGGCAAAGGGACTGCACTTGTTTTAGCACTGAAAGATATTCCACAACATTCAGAACGTAGGTTAAGTACAGATTCAACACGATCCACGAATAGTACGCAAAGTAACAACTCTGACATACAACAACATTTGCAATCCATGTTTAATTTATTGAAACATGAAGAAACATTAAAAATGGTATTTATTTATAAATTTCATAAAAAATGTACAAAATTTAGAAAACGTTTTTATTTTATAGGCAGTTAAATTGGAATCACATAGACCGAATCGCACAAGATATCTCGTTATAGCATCTCGTTGTTGTTTTCGTTCCACTACCACCGATCGTAAACATAAAGTAACTCGCAACAATTCAACAAAATCAGCAGCAACATTAACAAGTAACGCCAATACACGCCAAAATAATGATCTTAATTGCAATAAAACTCAACAACAATTGCAACAGTCACAAACTGATGCTAGTGATAATCTAGAAGCGTATGATAAACGTCTATCTGGATTATCAACCTATTTAACAAATCGTCAAAGTGTAAAATGTGATGACAAATATACTGCCGGTGGTGATAACAAATGTGCTGATGGTATCGAAGAATCATGTTTACTGGGCATTGATTGCAATGAACGTACAACACTCGGTTTAGTTGTACCAATACTCGCTGACACAACTATACACTTAGATGGTGATGGGTATGTATTTATGTAAAAATATTCATTTTAAATTTTAAATTATCCACATTAATAAGATTTTTTAGAAAAATATTTATTTATAATTTGTTTATATCTTAGCGGTTTCAGTGTTTCTGTTTATGGAAAAACTCATATCTTTAAACCAGTATCTGTACAAGCAATGTGGTAAGTTAAATACTATTAGTTGTAATTATTTAATTAATTTTTATATATGATTATTTCATATGAAAACAGGTCAGCATTGCAGACCTTACATAAAGTATCTCATAAGGCTCGTGAGAATAATTTTTATCCTGGTGGTCCTTCGCACGATTGGTTATCGTATTATGAGCAACGTGTTGAGTCCGATCAGTCTTGCCTAAATGAGTGGAACGCTATGGATTCATTAGAAAGTCGTCGTCCTCCGTCGCCAGATGCCATAAGAAATAAGTAAGTATAAGTGATATTTATGAAAAACGTATATCGCTGAATTCAATAGATAATACGCGTTAAAAAGAACTGGTATAGTTTTGTAACTATACTACTTCAGGAGCACCGAATTTATCTCATTCATACGTTCAATCCTTTTTGTTGGTTATAAATTTGTTTTTCTTGCAGACCAACGGCAAAGGAGGAAACTGAGAGTGTGATTAAAATGAAATTAAAAGAAATAATGATGTCGGTAGATTTGGATGAAGTTACATCAAAATACATACGTGGGCGTTTAGAAGAACATCTTGACATGGATCTTGGAGAGTATAAATCGTTTATTGATACAGAAATGCTCTTAATACTCGGTCAAATGGATGCACCAACAGAAATATTTGATCACGTATATTTGGGTTCTGAATGGAATGCTAGCAATCTGGAGGAGTTACAAAAAAATGGGTATATCATGCAATATATGATTTCAATATGAGTGTATATGTGTTTATCTATGTTTTTAGTGTACGACATATTTTGAATGTAACACGCGAAATTGATAACTTTTTTCCTGGCATATTTGATTATTTTAATGTCCGCGTTTATGATGATGAAAAAACAAATTTATTAAAACATTGGGATAATACCTACCGTTATATATCACGTGCCAAATCGGAAGGTTCCAAAGTGTTGGTTCATTGTAAGATGGGTGTGAGTCGTTCTGCTTCTGTGGTTATTGCTTACGCCATGAAAGCGTATAATTGGGAGTTTGAACATGCTTTACAACATGTTAAAGAACGTCGTAGTTGTATAAAACCAAACAAGAATTTTTTAAATCAATTAGAGACGTACCGTGGTATGTTGGACGCCATGAAAAACAAAGAAAAATTGCAACGCAGCAAAAGTGAAACAAATCTAAAAAGCACAAAAGATGCACGTTTACTCCCTGGTAGTGAACCTACACCGTTAATACAAGCTCTTAATCAATCGAAGTCAAAGTCAGCTGGGCATGGTGTTAGTGTTGAGGTTGGTGATTGTGAAACTACCGAGGCCAACGAAGTAAATTTGAATTGCGAAAGGATAGCTTATGTTAAAACCCGCCTGCTTTTACGTCGTTCAAATAGCATATCGCCAAAAAGTAGCATACAAAGTCATAATGTTATAGTTATGAAACAGCAAAGTCAGTCGCTAGAAAACTTAACCCCAGAACGTAGCATTGCGGATGAGCCGAAAAATGTGCGTTTTCCGGGAAGCAATGGTGAAAACTATAGCGTTACACAAAATCAAGTATTACATATACAAAAGAAATCGGTAACTATACCTACTAGTGGAGATACAGCACTACCACCAAATTCAGTTCGTACCATTGTTCATGATTTAGAAGCAGTTAAGGATAGACGTAAAACTGTAGACGATCGCAAAGTATTAAATTTGCAATTTGGACGCTCCGTTTCGCATGACGCCGCAACGCGAACGGAAGAGAATTTAAGTAATAACACAGCGCAAGAATCTGCACACACAAATATTACAAAAAGTCCTGTGTGGACATCATCCGCTAAGCTTATAACACAAACGTCGAATTTAAAATTACAGCAATGCGATAAAGAAACGGAAAACATTCATCCTGCATTACGTAAAAACAGTCATGTCAGGAGAAACTCTTCGAGTAGTAATAATGATCCTAGCGCTGATATGTTTTCCTCTCAATTGGATAATGTGTTTGCAAATGAAGAAGAGAAGCGACATAGACGGAAAACCCAATCCTGGGCTGCTACAAGTGGTTCAAGCGGTGGCATAATCCTGGAAAGTAATACATTAATTAATAGTGGTATAGGTATTAAAGCTAAAGGCTCCAACAGCAGTATTGATTCAGCCTCCTCGAGTACTACCTCTACAATATATGAAGGCGTTGTTCGCACACGACCACGTCAACGTGAATTACCATCGCGACATGCATCTTGGGGTTCGGGTGATAATCGCTGTGGCGTGCCCATCCGCAACAGTTCCTGGGGTCCGTATGATACTAATCGCAATACCTTCCAATATGGTGGCACAGCGAATTCTGCCATATTCGAGGGACAAATACATGAACTGAACATGAGTAATAAGACTGTCAACTACAAGGCTACGAATGAACGCCAACAAAACCAACACAGCCACATAGGCACCGTAAAACGGACAAAACAAAAACTAGAGGAATGCACCGTGCAAAAAAAACTTTGCCAAGAAAATGGAGAAAGTGAAAGTGATAGAGTAAGTGAAGAAGCCTTGTCAAGTCCTGTAAATACTACCTCAGTTATAAGTTCGCAAAAGAAAGGCTCGAATTTATATCGCAGCGCCTCAGCAGCTGGTGGTACAGCAAGAACACGTTTTCCACACCGATGTAATAGCGAAGAAATAGTGCCGACTGTAACAGCAGTAGTATTGACGCAAGCTACAACACGCCGTAGCGATGGTAACAAGCCAATACAAAGTGAATTGTTTTCTGCTTCAGCCCCCGAGTCATATACAATGTCAGATATTGAAAATAAAAATCTGTTACCGCAGGAAAATGTTGAAGACTCTTCTGAAGTGTTACTACGCACAAATAATTTACAACAAATTGGTGCAACAGCAGAGGATCAACGTATATCAGGCAATGTGCAAATACTCAAAAAAAGTTTTGAAGCTAAAGCGGGCGGTACTGCAACAACTGCAGCAACTCAAGCAAATCTTACGGCCAGCTCAAAAAAAGGCCATCAATCACTGCCCTCATCACCAGTAGCTCAACACGTAGACCATAGCGGTAATATAAGAACAACAGTAACAATTTCCGTTGCAACAACAACTACGACAACAGCCATAAGTAATGTAGAAGAGACAACAACAGCGGTTCCTACAAAAAATACATCATCCAATTCCTCAAATTCGTCATCATCATCTAGTGTAAGTGACACAAATGAACGCAATGTAAAAGGCTTGGTACATAAATATCAAACGACTACTCCTAGCACAGCAGCTTCCAGCGCATCAAATACACCAGCAATAACAACAGTAGTAGTAAATACATTTAGTAGCACAAAACCACGTCCACGATCCTATTATGAAAATCCTCATTCCCACAGATCGATAATGGGTAAACCACACGATTACAGCGACAGTAGACCACCGCCAGCACCTGCCAAATCAACAGGTTCAACAGCCACTAGCCATATCATGACAGAAAGCATTTTAGCACAACAACATCAACAACAGCAGCGACGACTGCAACATGGCAAAACACATCCACTCGCTAGGCTAAGTTTACCAAAGCAAAGCTTTAATGCAGCCGCTTATAATACGATGTAAACTGTCGTGTTAACGTATATTGTTACCGTAATTGTTATATGCGCGTCCATTATTGCCTACATTAAACATATTTTCGAATATATTCTGTTAGTCAAACAGTAAAATAAGTCAAACAGCCATAGAAACGCACCTAATACATAAATAAATGTAAAATATGTTCGATGCATGTTCGATGTGTCCATTTAAAATAATCATACACATATATCTTTATATACTTATAATAATATATATGCATGCTAGTATATATATATATATATATCTATATATATGTATATATTTTATAAACATGTAAATGTGTATTTGTTATATACATATATAAATGTGTTCTATATATATATATATCTAGTATGTTTATATATATATGTAGTATATATACTATAGGCACTTTTTCACTTACACATCTGAATACACATATATTTATACATACATTACATACGTACATATATTTATCCATATACTCATATTAGCGCACATAAACACTTAGTTCGATCATGCCAATATCCTTGTTACTCGTTAGGTTAATCAGTTTTATATATGTATTTTCGGTGATTTATTTCTTAGTTTGTGCATTAGAATTTTGTTGTTGTTATTTGTCAGTAACCTGTATTCTATTTTCGTACTTGATTTATATAATTTTATAAATATTATTTTAAACAATTACGTTTGGAAAATTAGAATCAAACTGATATGTATATAGATATATATGAGTGAAATTTTCAAATAAATTAGTTTTGAACAGTTAATTGGTTGCTAAAAAGTAAATAATTTGGTTAAATTGGTTAAAAATATAAATTGGCATATTTTAAATATTATTCAATAGCGTGTTTTTTTTTCAAATACAAATATACATATTCGTAAAAAACACTTTATATTTTATATAAATATTTATTTATATAAGTATGCTGTTTTAAGTTATAGCCTTAAAACAAACTTCGTATGCTGTTATATACACAATGTATATAATGCATTACTTTATTGCCTTTTTCATGTTTATAGAAATAATCGTATGCTTAGATATTTATATACTAGGACACTTCTAGAAGTTTTAAAAGTAAACTTTTTAAAGAAAAAGTATGTAAAATATATAAGAAATATTTTCTTTAGTACTCACTTTTAAACTTTTAGTACATGCCTCGTTATTACCGCATTTTTCTCCAAATTCATTGCATTTTACAATTCTTGCTTTTTTACGGTTGAACACAGTTGTTAAAAAATATTAAAATTAAACATTTTAGAGATTAAAAAATTAAAATTTAACTGCCATCGCTGCATAGCTAATGACTACCCCGCACCTGCTTCATTATTTTTCTATAATTAAATACAGTGTCATTTTGTTATTTATAAACAATTTACATTTTATTAAATTCAATATAATCCATACTTATATATTTGTTGTTAATTGTTTTTTTTTTATTTTAAAAACTATTTGACTGTACTTTGTTTTATAACATTAATTAAAATTCTGTAATAGTTTGTTTATTATGTAAAAAATATTACGTAATTATTAGTTTTTATGTTTTTGAATATATATACATTGTATATCTTTATTATTATTATTTAATATGCATATTTTGTTGTACATAATTGTTCTCAGTGATTACTTGTTTTCGACTAAAAATCATTTTCATTTTATAAATGAATGTTTTGACTATTTAAAAATTACTATATATATGAAAAAAATAATGTTTTCTTGTTTAATGATTCATTTAACATTTAGATATTTCATGCACACACATTTTGTAACTAACAAAATTAATTTTGTATATTTTTTTAACTATAATTTTTATAAATATATAAAATTTTGCAGCCTTTTCCGCATGATACGCAAGGTTACATATTCATTCAACAACAACAACAACACTTCCTCCACAAATAACAACAATAACACAAAATAATATATATTTTTAAGATAGATAAAAATTAATGCGCATATGCAATACAAATTAAATATATTAAATTACAAATAACAACTTAAATTAACAAAAATATGAGCCGAGTTAATTTTGCTATTGCTATTTTGCCACTACTTAATAAACTTCACCAACAACAACTACAAATATGGAACTACTGTTTTTTATATATAAAAAAAGAACAACTAAAAATGATATATAAAAGTAAAGTGCATGCGCTTTAATTTTAATTTAATAAATAATTAAATATATATATATATAAAAGTAATGTTTTTTAGTTTATTAAAAATTATTTATTTTTAATATAATTTTTTTTATTCATAGTTTTATTTTTATATAATATAAACTTAAATTATAATAATTATTAATTATATTGCTTATATAATTAATTATAATTGAAAAGAAATTCAATATAAAAAACAAAAACATTTATTTGTATCGCTTTTACCATTGTATTGTATTATTTATATTTGTAAGAATATGTAAAACTATATTTGAATAATGCAAATTTAGCAACAAACAACAACAACAAAATGAAAACAAAAATAACAAATAATTTTTTGTAAATATTGTAAGATTTTTTCTATTTTTATGTTTGTATTGTATTTTAAAAAATATTAAAAATTCATACAGAAAAATATTGAAAAACATTAAAATTATTTTCTACTTATATAATTAGTGAAAAGATTGTTTAGCTTAGGCCTAATAAGCCGAGAAATATGAAGATACAATATTATAGTATGAAATACAGTAATCCCCCAATTTAACAAAAGATTTCTTGCACACAGCTCATTCATTAAATCGATGAATACATTACACAAAAAATATATATTCACTAATTCTTTATATTTTATTTTTAAAAAATATAGACACTATTTATGCCTGAAAAATCATGATGTTGGTACCCGTACATTATTGTATATAGAAACCTCGCCTTTTGTGTATTTATTTTGGATTTTATTTCGAATATAGAATTCTTTTCATATTTTTTTTGTTTTTGCAGTATTCGTCAAATCATTGAGTATTTCATATAACGATTTATGGGTTTAAAATTCTGTTAACGATAGAATTGGACATTTGTTTAATTGGTCATTTGTTATAGTAGATGACTACTATATATACAATTTAAAGGGTAACAGCCCTCGTCTTGATGTCTCTAAAGAAGAAATATACCTTTTTGTCCTAACTCTGTTAGTGTCAGGATACATCCATGTACTAAACAGTTACTTGGCAGATATATATTCATCAACTTTTAATATGTGCTGCAAGTGTAGTTCTATTCTCCATGAGTTGGACCATCTTATCTGATACCATAATACGCATACTGATTGAAGTTGATCTGATCTAAGCGTTATTTATGAATAAGTATTAGACTTTTTTCATAAGCTACTCATGCAATATAGAGTACAGCACATTGATAATGTATTATAGATTGTATTGAATATTAGATTGATAGATTGTATTGAATAAATCTTAAGTTTAAATTAATACTATTAATAACATTATGGCACTTAGTGCTATTATGCTACCATTGAGTGAGTAACCGCTTATGGAGAACAATCTATTAAAATTAAGAAATCCCAATATCTCAAAGTAAAAATTTTTTAGGACTTGACTCTTTGTCTGGAAAGTTTTAGCCATCGACATCGACCAAATTTTCTATCGTTTCTTCCTTCTGACAACTTCTACAGAAGTCACTGTTTGGGCCACCCAATCTGAACACAACTTTGTTGAAAGGAATGTTAAAAGGCAGTGCTGTTTGGCGTGAACTGGGAAGCTTGGTTATCTTTACCTAGTTGAAATGACTCAAAATATCAAAATCAAATTAGAAATAAACTAATATAGGAAAACTTATAAGTGGTGTATTCAAGCTAGTTTAGCATTTTTAATAGATTATAACGTACGAACAGATAAATTTGTAGTCTAATTTTCTCGTTCTAAACAGAAACAGTAATGAAACATAGCTTTTTTTAGTTCAATAATAAAATAACGCAAGCATTACGTTCTATATTATATCATATAAACACTGAGAAATCTAGTAAGTGACCTTACTTCAAATTTATTGAGTTCATGTTTTAAATGGGTACCATGGAATAAATTAATATGCAAATATTATATAGAGTTTGAAAATTCAACTGTAAATTATATCAGATGTACTTATCTAAAGGTTGTAAATTGATGGTTAATTGAGGGAAATAGAATATTATGTCGGTATGGCAGCGAATATTGGTATTTAGCAGAATTTCGAATAAGGTATATTAGATAAAAACTAGGTAAATTAGGTACTACCAAATTTTATAAGTTGTCAAATAAATAAATTTAAGTGCAATAAATAAATAATTATATATTTACATAAGTGCAAAAAAACCTCTTGCAAATATCAATTTACTTTACTTAAATTTACTCGAATTCACGGCCGTATAAAGAAAATTTTGGAAATCAGTCATATAAAAGGTACATGTGTACCACATTGAACGATAGTATTTTTACTTGAGTTTAATTACTTTTATTATCTGATTATTATCTGACGTATTTTAAATGTTTTATATAGGCGATTAAAACCTGATCGAACCATATTTATGGCTAATTTATTTATCTCTAACTGAGTAATGATAATTTTGTGGCTTATCTTCACCTAATCCCAAACACCTGCAACAAATATTTGTAAATGAATATTTACAAACATTTTGAAACACATTTTAGTTAAATTATATCATAAAATTTTTTCGCTGTATTTATTTATTTATATTGAGTTTCAAAATATTATTTTGTATTTTGTAGTTCATTTATCATAGCCTCAACTGTCAACTGTGGATTGTTTTTATTTTTCAAACTTTATTAAACGCAGATAACATTTTAGTGCAAAATATTGCGAGCTTTGAACCAACTGAACACACCTTGCAAATCAATGTTGTACTTTTATTTTTTAAACACACAAAAACTGTTATTGCAAATTCTAAATGTATTAGTTTTTTAATATATAACAAAAGATAAATGAAATCTGCTTAAACATAAATAATAATAAATATTAAATATTTAAATATTAAAAGTAATAATAAATATTACTAATAAGTGAATATGCACCATATATGTATGTTTCATTGTTTTAAGCTACATAAAACAGTAAACTGATAAATAATCTTTTCTCTTGTCAAATATGCAATATACATACAAATAATAGCAATAATTAATTTATCTTAGATATATTATTGTATTGAAAAAAGTTTCATAAGCTTATGTGTGATTACCTTATATCGCTATTTCGTGTTTGTCACTGTACGGAGCAAAAATTTACGATATGTTAGCAACACTGTTTTTAAGCTCTTCGCACGAAGTGTCAAATTTTTTTACATTCATTATTTTCCTTTTGTGCGAAAAAGGTTTTTTGCTACAAGTTTTCATTTTTCGGGCGAAAAATTTAGCAAATTTTTTGATACATTTTGTACTATATTTAAGTTGAAATATCAGTTATAAGCGCAAATGTATTAAATGTGAAGTGTTAAATATCTTAATAGAAATAATTGGTGTGCTAAAAATTGTGAGAGAATTTTTTTTTAGGAAAGTACGTGGCATTAATTTTATTAGATATCTTTCTATTTGTATTGGCTTATATCATTTTAAAATAATTTCTCTGTTTTGTGATGTGTTTGCATTTATATTCCCAGAAATTTATTCCGTTTTGATAGAGCGAGTTCATCCAATCAACTAACGTATTGCAATCATGAGTGAAAACAATGCGAAGGCAACACCCGAGAAAAAAGATCCTGAAATGAAAGGTTGGTTGCTTAAATGGACTAATTATATTAAAGGTTACCAAAGACGCTGGTTCGTCCTCTCAAATGGTGTGTTAAGTTATTATCGCAATCAGGCCGAAATAAATCATACTTGTCGTGGCACAATTTCATTGCATGGTGCACTTATACACACGGTCGATTCGTGTACATTCGCCATATCGAACGGTGGCACACAAACTTTTCACATAAAAGCTGGTAACGAGGTTGAGCGCCAATCTTGGGTTACAGCGCTTGAATTGGCCAAAGCGAAAGCTATACGTGCGATGGAGAGCGAGGAGGAGGAAGAAGAAGAGACCGCGCAAGTGGTGCCAAGTGAGGAACTAAATACAGTGGTGCGTGATCTAACGGAACGCTTAGAAAATTTACGTACTTGTTATGATCTTATTACTAAACATGGTGTTGCATTGCAGCGCGCCCTCAGTGAATTGGAAACCAACGATCAGGAACAACTATCTAGCCGTACGAAAATCGTTAACGAGCGTGCAACATTATTTCGCATAACATCGAATGCAATGATAAATGCTTGTAACGATTATCTATCAACAGCGGAAACGCAAGGACATAAATGGTCGAAAATGCTGCTGCACGAACGTGAGCAACGACAACGTCTGGAAGATATGGTAGAACAGCTAGCAAAACAACACACGCAGCTAGAGCATGCTGCACAATTAAACGTCCAACAAAACAAAATCATGCCTAGACATGGTAATTCAATTATGACAGTAACGTCAGATGATGAGAACGAGTTTTTCGATGCCGAGGAAAATATGTGCTTTGGTGATGAATTATTGCAAGAGACTGTTGAGGAAGAACCATCTACGAGCAACAGAGATACTGTTGATCGAAGCTCAGTTAACATACCAGAACCGATAACACTAACACCGACAAATAGTATAGTTTTAAGAAAACGTAGAACACGCATACCAGACAAACCAAATTATCCATTAAATTTGTGGTCTTTTATGAAGAATTGTATTGGCAAGGAGTTGTCAAAAATACCTATGCCAGTTAATTTTAATGAGCCTCTTTCAATGCTACAACGACTCGGCGAAGATTATGAATACGCATACTTATTAGATAAGGCGGCACAAACAAACGACAAGTGCGAGCAATTGAGTTATATTGCCGCATTTGCAATTACCAGTTATTCAACAACACGTACAAGTAAGCCCTTCAATCCGCTTCTAGGAGAAACATACGAATGCGATCGCACAGATGATCTCGGCTGGCGCATGATAGCAGAACAAGTATCTCATCATCCACCAATGGCAGCTGTGCATTGTGAAGGCCGTGGATGGAAATGCTGGCAGGAATTTACTATGACAAGTAAATTTCGCGGAAAATATTTACAGGTAAGCAATCTGTTTAATATATAGATTTTGTATAAATATTGTTTAAGGAAAAATATGTTTTTTAACTGAAAAATATTCAATATAACACAAATGAAAGCAATATTTTCATATATATACTTTTATATATATGAAAATTCCCCGTTCATGCAAACGAACCATTAAATTACCTTAGATTAAATGAGCCAAATTGCTGCTAACATATATAGTACTGCGTGTCAAGCTGTATCTTGAAATAGGGTTTGAGAGGTTTTAAGTTTTTCATGTATAAAACTATAAAATGGTGTATAAAAATTCTTTAAAAGATAACACACAAATTAAACACTTATTCATGGGTTCTCATGGGTGAAATAGGAAATGCATGAGTTTGGGTGGAGGCAATTGAAACTATCCTGGGTAGTTAAAGGTAAAGCAATTTTCCACAAAAGTAGAGAAACCGTAGACAGTTAGGGCTCAAAGCCATAAACATGAATCACTTCCAACCAGGACTATACTATCAGCAATAACAAAAATAGTTCACTTACAGTAATAGTGAATAGAATTATTGTACAGCAATAGAATTACTGTACTACAAAGAGCCAGAAAGAATCTAGTACATATTCTTATTTTTACATATTCTATTACTATTCTTTTTTTCTATTCTATTACATATTTACATACATATTCTTTATTTTTTCCTAATTATTCTTTGCAAATATTCTTTTCTTTGTGAGCAAATATAAAAAAAAATTACATATTGTAAGTCAAATATACTTCACAACTCCCAAATTGAATTATATATATGCATTAGATATTTGACTAGTACATCTGTACTCAATCAGCATTAATATTAGGGCTCTCTTTGCTTATTATTGCAACGCAACCCTACAATGGCAAATCAATTATTTTTAAATATTTTTTTTAAATTTTTATTAAATAATATGGTTGTTTGATCTTATCAATTTGTGCTTTAAATTTGTGTGCAAACTATATGGAAAGCGTAAGATTTTTTATATAGGTCTGCAGATACTTTTACTAACACGCGTATGTCTACACTACTATATGTATATATACACAAAGGTACATAATAAAATATATAAATTTGTGCTAATAACTTTTAGTAACTAAGTTCAAAATTTTGCTGTGACTAATTTGCTTACTGAATATTGCGAAATGTTCTGCAGTTAGAACATTTATTTTTTGTTTTTTTGTTTTTGGGTGCTGAACCAATTTATTATCACGTAGGGATTGCAGGATTTCTATTCACTTCCCCTTCTCCTTATATAGTATGTCTATGTTAGCATGTGTGTTCGATATAATTATATTAGCGACACTTAAAATTCCTAAGTCACGCGATTCTGTCAAAGGTTGTAGTTATTAATTGAGTTTGTAGATTTCATTGAAAATAGCCTTGCGTTTATTGATGGCGGCAAAGTTATGCCTAACTCTGACCCTCTAACCCTTTACCCTTCACATGTTTGCTTGCATTCAAATTTTGGGCAGAACAATACTTCACTACGAATATTTTCATATATTTTAAAAGGCTTGACCATGATTAGGCTCAAATATATAAATAAATAAGGATATCAAGAATATGAGGATTTCAAGATGATTTTGATATTCGTATGTAATGTTTATACTAATACATTCCAGTAGACATAATTATATTTTCCTTCTAACACCATCATTCAACTTCGAAAGTTGAATAACAAACTTATCCTCAATAACACTTACAAACTTATGGTTTGAATTCTTAATCGACAAAAATTTTTATCTCAGAATATTGTTTAAGTAATATTTAAGTATATACGGGGTTAATGTATATATCTTTTATAATAAAATTATTTAATTATCAAATATGTTTTCGAATACATCTCTTCTGAAATTGACTTCAAAATATAGAAATAGAATTTTCTACATATACATATGTATGTGTATATGGACTAGACTTTTAGTATTTGTGTGATAACAGTTATAAATATGGATCCAAAACAAAAATAATTATCATTTAGCAAAAAAACAAAAAAAAAAACTAGCCACTTTTACTTGGAAAATAATTTCACGATCGGATTTTTTCTAGAAATATCTATCCTATGATGGGTTTGTTGATTTAGCAGCCCTGCTAGAAGATTGACTAAGATTTCTTCTTATAATGAATCTTGTCGCAGTTGTCAATAAGAAGAAAGTGCTTAACAACATCTTTGTCACTTTTCACTGCATTTCATTTAGCGTCTAACATTAAACAACATATATTTCCGGATAGATAATCTGATTTTGATAGATATCAAAATAAACGATATCCTTAAAATCGATTTTATGGTATATATCTTCTATTTAGTACTGGTAAGTAATTCTAAGTTCGATTTTTAATGATTATGTGTTAAAAACTGTAAGATTAACTAAACCTTGGAATAGCAGCGATAGCTAAGGCTTTTATAAGTTCCAAACCAATTTTTGTCGTTAGCTCTACAGGATTCCTCCTTAGTTGTTTCAATACCTTTGTAGACTTTGTCCATAAAATAAGGCAGTCTGAAATGGAAACTTGCACAAACATGAAAAGCTTTATAACAAAACCTGACATACATTAAGAGTACAGATCGGAGTCATTACAGGGCACAGCACAAAGGTGAACACCTCTATATCTTATTACAGATCTGTGATGCCAATCTTATCTCGACAATGTAGACAACACTTCTTCTTTTATTATCAAGCGTTAATAAATACTAAATTGAGATTGTTAAATTATGCTCTTTTTTTACGCAATATTCTTAGATTCATTAAGAAAATAAAAAATTCTAGTTATAATAGCTTATTCTTCCGTTTAAATTTTTACTTCTGATTTCATTCGGTTTTGGGCGTAATGATCAACTTTCTAAGTGCCTTTGTTTTATTCTATCCAGGATAAATAAAATGTTTTGCAATAATATAAATATAAATATACCTTACCTATTGTTGGCAATTTAAACTCATAAACAACTATTTGTCTATCATTAACCAGACTAAGGTTATATTGCAACTAATCTCATTATTTTTATATATTAAGTATTTCGTTAATTTTAAAGTTCTTCACATCAGTAACTATTTCGATATCTACATCAAAGTATTCTTAACAATATTCTGGTAAAAAAAATCGTAGCCAGAATATTGAGTATTATCTTCGATTCAGATTATCTGCGGTTTCAGAATATTTATTTTACTAATTTACATACATTATTTTTCTGAAAGACTTAAACATGTTAACAGTCTAATGACTTATTTAATTATAACCGTTTCTTACAACTTCTTTAGTTCAATAATTATATATATATTTTTTTATATTTTTTCATTCTAAATTTGTAGGTTATTCCTTTGGGTAACGCATATGTGGAATTCACTGCCTCAGGTAATAAATATACTTGGCACAAAGTCACTACAACTGTAAATAATATAATTGTTGGGAAACTTTGGGTTGATCACCACGGAGAAATGGAGATGAAAGGTCTAAAATCAGCAGCCGGCATCAACGCTCGGATTAAATACATACCATATTCATATTTTTCACGAGAACAACAACGTAGAGTGAAGGGCGAAGTTTTTGATGAAAATAAATCAGTCAAATGGTTATTGCGAGGCACGTGGGATACAAAAATTGAAATAGCTAAAGTAGTTTCAGCAAATGGTACTACCGAAAATCCACTATATAAAACAAGCCCTTTTACAACTGTGTGGAATAGACGTTTACCAGAACCTGATAGTGATAAATATTATGGTTTCACTGTGTTAGCATGCCAGCTGAATGAGCATGAAGAAAATGTAGCACCAACAGATTCGCGTTTGCGTCCAGATCAGCGTTTAATGGAAGAAGGCAAATGGGATGAGAGTAATGTGCAAAAAATACGTTTAGAAGAAAAACAGCGTGCTAAGCGACGGGAACGTGAGTCTGAAGCAGAATCAGCTGCCTCCGCTGGACGTCCATATCCACCATATGAATCTATCTGGTTTACACGCCAGAAAGAGGAAGGTGTAGAAAGTGTAGTACATATTTATAATGGCAGATATTGGGAGCATAAGCGTGACCAAGACTGGTCAATATGTCCCGATCTATACTAAACTTCAAAAGAAACCACTTTCCATTTGAAATAATAAACTAATATCGTTCAAAATCGTTAGAATGACAGAAAAAATAATTACAATTAATAATTAAAAAAAAAAACTATAATGAATGCTATGATATAACAGCCCAAAGGAAACAAGATAAACATATATATAATTAAAAAAATATTACACATACGTTAACAAATATTCTATAGCGAGAATTAAAATAAATGTATTCTAAAAATAGCAAAGTAGTCAGTCATTAAAAAATTCAACTAAAACTAAATATTAAAAATCCATAACAACTATTTAAATTATAATTAACATATGTAATGTGAAATAATTAATTAATAATTGAATAATTTTTAAAAAATTACTTTATATATATGACTGTATATTAAATTTTGTTATGCATATTTCTTTTTATAATACGAGCGAGCAAATAACTATAAAATAGATGAACAATATAGGTTCTAGTTTTTTATTCTACTTTAATTAAAGTTTTAATTGTTTTTGTTATATTTGTTTTAATTTGTGTTGTACATATACTATATATATAAATTGAATTATTAAACATTTGATGAATATGAAAAATACACCTCTATTATAATATATTTAAATTTATAGTATTATTTAAATAGCAGAAAAAATGCAAACTTTAATAAAAATTAACTAAAAAATAATTAATAAAAATCATAAATTAAAATGTTTTTAAAACTGCTTATACAATTGTTTAAAATTTATTGTAGATTTAACTAATAAAACAATTACCAATTACAAAACGAAAGGATAACTATTGCACCCAACTAACATGGCCAAGCTGCAATTTATCGAGATCAAAAACCCTACTAGGTAGATCCACGATTGAGATGGCAAAACTCGTGGTAGTCACTAACCATTTGGTACTACCCATACCAAAAAATCTGATTTATTTCTTTATGACTCTTATTTATGAATTCAATGAATTAAGAAGCCTTATAGATCTTTAATGAATAATCTTTATCAATCAGGCGGGTTGGATTTGAAACAAATTTTCATAACTTGGTTTTTGGTATTGTTACTATGACGCCTCTGGAGAGAACCATTCTGCGTACACCTTGTTAAAATATATAGAAAAATTTAAAGAACAAGCATGGCAGCTTAAACATTATAAAAAATTCTGGAATTCAGTCAATATAGCTCGCGTAAATCCTCTATTCTTGAAAAATATTGTCTTGTTCTCCTATCTTGTGAACTGTAAAACTTTGACGGATGTTTGAATGGGACAAAAAAATGGATGATACGCGACTTTGGACCTATAAAAAAGTTATGGTGTTGTTGAAGTGTGAGTAAATCTTGTGATTCTACAACTAGAAAACAAATTTCGATGTTGTAAAGTGAATTCTCCGTTTTATGAAATCTTGTTTTAGTCAGCTATCTCTAAAAGGATTGACCTTGAAAACAAAGGTCAGTTATTGTTAAGTGAATTCGCTGCTTTTGGAGAATCTTTTTTCTTTTGCCTATATTAACGGATGTGTGAAAGGTACTTGATAATCGATTGTTTTCGTTCAATGTTATTGTTGGAGTTCTATATTTCAGTATATGAATGAGAAGAAGAAGGCTTGTGTTGGATATCAAAAGGTTCTTCTTTGTTTTTTCAATTTTTATGATATATATTTTTCATTTATATATTTGTAACTTTATTATTAAATAATAAACCAAAATAATGAAGTTTTTTGTCATAAGTTTTGTAAGTAACTTGTCGCCATTTTTTATGAACGGAAATAATTTGTTATAAACGATAACGAATTATTGACAAATATTTGTATAAAAATAATTTTCATTGAGAACAAAGCTTAATATGGTTTGAGAAAAACATATTTTAATATTATATTTTAAAACATATTAGATTACAAAATAATGCCATAAATTAGTCAACAATTTATTACTATGCATGCACATAGCTCGTATGTGCACGTCGATATATTACGCTCGCGTCTCAACAATATAAATACTTTTGAAGTATTAACAAATGATAAGGAAATTGAAAAAAAAAATATCAATAATAAAGAAACTAAAGTTCGCCTGATGTCTGTGTGGTATTCAGTAGTTTGAGTGATTTTAGTAAAGCCTCAACAGAGGGATCACGTCCGCGAAAACGTCTAAATACTTCCGCTGTGGGCATAGCGCCGCCAGTTGCCAAAAATGCTTCTTTGAAACGTTTGCCAACTGCTGGAAGTTCAGTCGGATTTTGTAGGAATTCGTCACTGATATCAGCGGCAATCATTCTTGAATATAAATGGCTAAAATATGCAGCAGCCCAATCTCCTGAAAATATTTCAGCCATCGAGCAAGGATGAGCGTCCTTCTTGTCCAGTGGCAAGCAACGATAAATTGGCCATAATTTTTTTACAATATCCAGCCAAAAACTATCTGACTTGTGTAATTCAATATCTAGATCGGCCAGATATAGTTCTTGACACAAATTATAACCAGCAAAATTTGTTTTAAGTAAAGTTGTTTGTTGTGCCAACTCATCGGGAATGGGTTCATCATTAGCAAAATGTCCAGATATATGCTTTAATACATCGACATCTGATAAGAAATTGCACATAACATTACCACAAACTTGTGAAGCATCCCACTCAATATTTGATAAACCGGCCAAATCGGTGAAAACAGCTTTGGTCAATAAATGTTGCATAGCTGAACCAAATGTTTTGAAGACCATATGTAAATCTTCTAAACTAAGTAGATAAGGTTTGCCATACACAGGTTCGGTAAAATTAAAGACAAGCGCACATAACGGTGTGAGGTTACCCGCTGCTTCATTTCGATTACGTATGCTTACCATCCAGCCATTATTTTTGCCAAATTTGTTTTCTTTTGAGTAACAGTCTACATAGAAACCACCGATTGGTGTCGAAGAGGAATCTGCATCGCAGTCAAACACATCGTAGTACTTAACTGCAGGTTGCCAAACTACTGCTTCTCTGCGCTCAGCGATTCGAATATTTAACAATTTTTCGCTAAATGCAAACAGACCAGCTAACACGCGTGACAATGGAAAATATTCGCGGAGTTTCTCCTCGTTAAGTTGATAGTTTGCGATAAGGTATTTACGCTGCCAAAAGGAAATATCATACAAATCCAAAGGATGTTCGAAACCACGTTCTGTAGCGAATTTTTGTAATTCCTGTATTTCAACAGATTGTGCTGGACCAGCAAATTGTAAAAGCTTAGCAAAGATTTGCTTAAGATTATCTACACTATGCACCATTTTCGTCTCCATTGACATATCGACATATGTAGGATAACCTGAAAAATTTATAACATTTTTAAAGTATAAATAAATAATAGCACAATATATTTCATAAAGATAATACTACATAAAATGTTTTTAATTCAAAAGTAAAATTGTATATTAATGTAATTGCAATTTGAACAGCAATCCCTTAAGGCTTAGGAAATTAGCAAACAAACAAATAAAAAAAAAGACAATTAACGTATATAAGATTTCTTTTAAACATTTTCCATTTAAGTTAGGAATAACAAGGAACTGAGAAGCTATCGAGTAATGTGCGTGACTTAACTCTAGCTGGAATTCTCAATCAGGCACTTTGCTTTCTAAATAGGAGTAAATCAAGCTTCAATAGATATTAAAGCTACAATTAGGTTATCGTAGCAGTACTGTACACCAAAGTCCGTTTAAGCTGTTAGAACGACCCTTTTCAATACCACGGATTAGCGTTGTTCATTAGCAGACTTAAATAATCTCCGCAGTGGTCTGCGTGCGAACAACGCTGAAAGACACCCTCCCTCAATTAAAAAAACCTTGAATTAAAATATATTTTAATGAAAATATTAAGTTGTACTATTCATACTATTAATCAGGAATTTAATGATATTATTTGACCCGATCAAAAAATACATAAAGGATAGAGCTCTAAAATTATTTGCGAAAACTGACAGACTTACCAACACAGCAATATCGAATCTCAGAATGGTTATAGGCTCCTCGTGGAGGTATGCAGATCTGAGGTCAATTATTGCTTAGTTTGATGAAATGATAAACAATAATCCAGTCAAGGCGTAAAGAGGGGTTTTGAAGATGCCTCGAGTTAATAGAGAGTAAAAGTGCTCAAGTGCACTGGCTCAAATAGCTTCAACATAAATAATAACTATTGTACCCACAATTGCAGTAAAAAAAGTATTTTTGATGAATTAATAAAAATTAAAAAGAAAAGTATTAAGACCTTTTAGAAGGATTTAAAGACAATTCGTACTATATGGCGGAGATGTCGCTCTTCCTAAGAAATATTAGGCGGGAGTCTGATAAGAATCTTATTGTGAGTTAAAGAGGATACTGCATGTAGGTGGAGGACTGTAAGTCCACGTTGGTGGTTTTTAATAAATACATTTTGGTGTACAAAGTACAAAAGCTTTTGATACTTTCAGGAATAGTTTAATTCTATATAAATATTAATTTTAATATATTGTGTTGCGCAACTTATAGTTTTTAATACTTTTGGGTATAATTTAATTCTATTAAATATAATTGCTAACAATATTGTATGTAGAGAAAAAGTTTTCTTTAGATTACATATTAGAAATCTATGAGAATGCATACGATAAGTGAATTTACTCTAATTTAAGCAATTCCAAAGCAGAGACATGACAAACAGGTGTCTGTCTATAGAAATATCAGTGCGAATTCATGAAATTGGTACAACCTATTATTTATAATTAATTAAATTATTGAAATTATTCTGATATGTAAATATGATTTTACGAATACGTAGAGAGGAAGCTGTTCATTCGATAAATGGATGCAATGAGAATAAAATTTAATAGTCAAATTTTTAGAAATCTTTTTCGTTTAATTCTTTTACATACCCAAAATATTTGCTTGCTGTTTACGTAACCCACGTATTTTTTCCAAATGTGTACTGTTTTCTAGATTTCTGTCCACTTGTGCTGTTGCCTTGCGTACATTGGCCTGCCACACGTTCCAACGTTGTGTACGGTCAGGACAATATTTTAAAAAGCCCTCAACAATTTGTGGTTGCAGCGTGATTTTCCATGGACCTTGCATAGGTTGATTTGGATCTTTAGCTGTTGACTCTAGCAATGTTGGAGGAAAATCACGCACCAGCTGATAATCTTTAACCATGTGTTGGAAGCCATTTATTGACATATCAACTTTGAAACGATAATCACCACGTTCTTTGCCCAATTTGTTTAATATATCTTTTAACGTATTGCGTTTCTCTTCGTCAAGCATTAACCCATTTAGTTTGCCTTCTAATAGATATTTTTGTATTAGTCGACTTTCCTGTTCATTATTGCTTTGCTGTTTACTGATAGCATTAAAAAGAGTTTTGTTGGTATATTTTGAAGCACGTGCGTTCCGGGCACGCTCATGTATATTCATGTATGTTTTGGTTGGTATCAAAGTTGAGTTACCCAAATATAGTGCTTTCGCCACACCCCATGTAGCGTCTAATGGTCCCGTCACTTCGTCCAGTTCACGAAATATGCGTGAAGTATCGACGCGACCTTCTTGTTCCTTAATGGCATCTTCAATACGCTTAACAGTCTTTTCCACAGCGCCCGCTTGATAGCCAATGGCGCCCATACAATTTTCAATGGTTATGTCATTGAATGCGGGTAGGCCATCTGGATTTATAATACCGTCCCCAGCGTGTGCATCTTCACCAATTTCAGGTACACTATTTTTAAAAAATGTTTTTTCTTCAATACTCTTTTTTTATAAATAAATCAATTCACTTACAGCACAATGTAACCAGTGTCCCGTGTGGCTGATGTGTGCAAATGCAATCTGGCTGCATTGGTAATTTGACAACGACGCAGCACAGTTAGCATATTAAATTAATTGTTTATTAATAACTTTTATTTATATTTTGAAAAATCGTGTTTTTCTCTTCTTTTCAAAAGAAAAACGTTTACACAACACCGCGAGTGTCCGGCATCAAATAGTGTTCCGTGTTACTAAAAATATCAAATAAATAGTAGTAAAAGGAATTGATATTCTAAAAATGCAGTAGTTTTTGTTTTACTATGTGTTTGTTCTGTAGAAGTCCACTAAATCCACTTCATAAAATGTAATATAAACAAATTTCAGCTACTAGACAGTAAAGGCCAAAAGCTGAAACCCCATTCCAGTAATGAAAGGAAAAGCAGACATTAGAAGACCAAAGACTAATATATGGTATATATACCAAAATTGGAAACAAGTAAGCTGAGAAAGGAAAGACGATCTTGCCAGGTAGCAATTACTGACTAAGAATAAAATTTATAAATCAGTATATAAAAATATAAAGAATTTAGTAATAGCAAATTAATAATTAAATATGAGTTTTTTATATATTTATGTAATACAATAGGTCTGTTCCACGAGCTACTCGTAGTAGAACTCAAGTAAAACACATGTAAAGTATAAACTGAAAGCGTAACACAAATAAAATGTTAGATTATACTCTTTATACAAATTTTCATGGAACAGCTCTATGTTAAGTCTAGTGAAAACACCAGTGCCGCGAAAATAAGCAACATAAAAATTTAAATTCAAACCAAAACAGTTGATTAACACATCACACAAATTTTACTTAAAATAAATTTCAAATTTCAACAGAGATATTACGCTCTATCAAATGCTTTCATTTACAAGAAAATTTGGTGGTTTAACTTATTAGTGTATACACAGCGTTACTCAAAGTTACTACGAGTAGCTCGTGGAACGAATCTAAAAGTGTATTAAACATATCAACAACATAACTGACTTCATATTAATAAAGTTTGAATTTTCATGTTTTTAGTCTTTTCTTTTTTTATCTTCATGAGTTATATCTCTTTTGCGAATAATATCTAGCTTACACTAATTAAAGTGCTTTAAATCTGTTGTGGTGTCATTTAAATATAATATCTGAAGTTCGAGACAGATTCCAGAGTTATTTATCATGACTAGCTTTCGTGAAGGTTTAACTCCAAAAATGCAACTGCACGTCAAGTTTTACCTGCTTACATTTAGGTTTTAACCGGAGCCACCGCGATTCTCTCTTTAAAGAGACAACTTCTATTAGTTAGCACAATTGAACCTGTGTGCCCTAAACTTTGTAATAAATATTTTACATCTCTGGCTGGGTCTTGCAATTGAAACACATTTACTACCAGTCATACTCCAAATAAAACATGGTAGTACCTAATCGATTTTAGTCGCATCTTACGACAAGTATGCATTACTTCGGCAATATTTTAATTTCTACACTAAAAGTTGGAAACACCCAAGACAGTTATATTTCTTTCGTTATATATAATTATTATAATTTTAATTATAATTTAATTATAATTTTTAAATTTTATTTTATTTTCTATTTTATTTTAGCACAATGGGTCAGATATTGTGTTCAATTGGGTTCAATTGCAGAATCGCTGCTCGAACCTAACCTTACATTTTTTATTGTACATCTGCAAAGGTATTTTGTATATTTATATATCATACTGAAGTATATATCACATCTTAAATTAAGTATGAAGATTAGATCTTAAATGGCATTATATGCAAACATGAAGCTGTCGTTATTAATGAACATTTTACCTAACATTATAACGAAGAAAAATATATTTATTTATAATCAATTAATAATATATCATAGAAAAATAGAAAAAAAACGAAGTTCCGAATAAGTGTAGCATTAATTCTCACGTGAGTTCAATTCAAATATTTTCATACAACATTCCACATTTGAGCTTTTGAGGAAGCTTTTTAAAACTACTTGCAACCCTATTTCCGCGACTTTTCGGTCAGCTGTTTTCCATTTGTTTGTTTTTATCATCAGCTGCAATCAGCTGTTTTTATCATTACAGAACCAAAATATAAAAATGTGCATAACAAAAAAAATTTTGCGAAGGGTACCACAAACAGTACAAATTGTAACAAAATATCGACGACATTATGGAACCGTCACACCAACACGAAGACGAGTGGTTGTAACAGGTAGTGGAGCAGTAACACCATTGGGTAACAATGTACTTGAATCCTGGCAACGACTGCTTGCCGGCGAATCAGCAATAACGCGGCTTAATGAGCAATACAAAGGTCTGCCTTGCCAAGTCGCTGCACAAATACCAAAGGAGCGACTGTCACTAGATAAGCATTTCAGTAAAAGTGACTTGAAATTAATGAGTCCCGCAACACAATTTGCTGTAATGGCCACAGATGAAGCTTTATGTAATGCAAAATTGAAACCCAAAGAGCTGAGCGCAGCAGAACTTGAAAGAATCGGTGTTTGCGTTGGTATGGGCATGTTTGACCTTTCGGAAGTGTACAACACGTGGCAACAACTGCAGCGAGGTTATAATCGCGTGAGTCCATTTTTTATACCACGCTTGTTGCCTAATATGGCTTGTGGTCATGTTAGCATGCGTCATGGTTTCCGTGGGCCAAATCACTCTGTCTCTACAGCCTGTGCTACTGGAGCACATGCAATAGGTGACGCTATGCGTTTCATACGTAATGGTGATGCGGATGTAATGATAGCAGGTAGCGGTGAATCTTGTATTGATCCACTTTCCATAGCTGGCTTTTGTCGCTTGAGGGCTCTGAGTACAGCACATAATGATACACCCGATAAGGCTTCACGACCTTTTGATGTTAAGCGTGACGGGTTTGTTATGGGAGAAGGAGCTGCCATACTTGTACTTGAGGAACTAGAACATGCACGCAAACGTAATGCAACAATTTTAGCTGAATTGCTTGGATACGGTTTATCTGGCGATGCTTATCATATAACTTCTCCAAGTGAGGACGGTACCGGCGCTGCACTGGCTATGAAACGTGCCATAAACGATGCAGGTGTATGTTTGGATCAAATTACTTACGTTAATGCACACGCTACATCCACTCCAACAGGAGACCGTATTGAAGCTCACGCTATAGAAAGCGTATTCGGTGCACATGCACCTGAGGTACGTGTATCTGCCACAAAAGGTGCACATGGACATTTATTGGGCTCATCTGGTAATTTAGAGGCTCTTTTCGTTGTACACGCTTGTAATGAGAATATTTTGCCACCTACAATAAATATTGAAGAGTTGGACAAAGACGTTAAGGTGAATGTCGTTACCAAAGCCGAAACTTGGTGTAGCGATAATACTATACAGCGTATAGCATTAAAGAATTCTTTCGGGTTTGGCGGTACTAATGCTTCACTTTGTTTTTCTAGTTTTAAGGAATGAATGTATATCACATAATGATTTCAAATATATAGTATATGTTAATACATGTAAATATATAATTAAATTGTTTTTTTTTTAATATTAGATAACTCGTATTAACATAAGTTGTATTTTATTGGTTAACACGAGAATTGATGTTAAACAAATTATAATAATCTAGAATAATCTAAATATTATTAGAATAATCTAAATTTACTGTTTATCTAAATTTACCACAAATTCTAGTAGCTAGAATATTAGAAAAATCGAGTACCTTTAGTTTTTCTTTATCTTTATTTAGTGTTTTCCAGAATTTTAGAAAAATAAACTATTCTTTTAGTATTCATTTTCAAAAAACAGTGAATTTACAGAATTTTTTTTCTGAAAGATTTCACAAAAAGTTATATGTATAAAAACTCCCGGCCTAGTACAAATTAATTACTGAAGAGGTCACTGGGTCGACAACTACTCTCCCTTTCCTCAACGGCCAACATTTTGGCCTTGTTACGGAAGGTATAATGTGTTCTGTTCGGTTAGGGCACAAAAGATCAAACATAATCGCAGTGCGCCGCTCCGCTGGGAGCTAGTACCCCGTTTATTCCTATCTTATCCTACTGGTTTATAGAATTCTAGTAAATCACTGTTGCTATGTCAGGTTAGGGTTTAGAGTGGTGGCTTTGTACAACAAAGCTCATGTGAGCTCAAATAATGGCCTATTGCAGTTTCTAGTTATTTTGGTCTGCAATATATCTATTAACTTTTATCAGCCCTCTGAATATAGGTTGAGTGTAGTTCATAAATGTGTATATCCTCTATTCAATAGCAGAAACTTATTCATTAGTCAACATTGATATAAATATAATATTAAATACGATACCCATTTTGTGGTCGTCGAGTTTTGAGAAATAATTTGTATAGAGGAAAATTACGGTATTATATAGCGATATAACTGGTTTTCGAGATATCGGAATTTAAAGTTGTAAATAATGATTACACAAACAGAAAGTAGTTAAGACAACTACATATAACATATTAGAAAGAACATCAAATTTTTGGTGTTTACATTCATAAAACTAGATGTCAGTTAATAGCGCAGTGGAACACGTTTCTCTAAATAGCCGATTTCACCAAAATCTGTCGTCAAATCGCTGCGACAAAGAAAACAGAATCGTGCCAAATAGTGTTATATATTTCATATTATTATGTTGAAGCTATTTGAGCCAGTGCACTTGAGCACTTTTACTCTTTCTTAACTCGAGAAGAGGGGTCAAAACCCCTCTCTACGCCTTGACTGAATTATTGTTTATCACTTCATCAGACTAAGCAATAATTGACCTCAGATCTGCATACCTCCCCGAGAAGCCTGTAACCATTCTGAGATTTGATAACGCGGTGTTGGTAAGTCTGTCAGTTTTCGTAAATAATTTCAGGGCTCTATCCTATCATCTATCCTCTTTTTTGATGGGAGCAATCTTGAGGTCCCTGAGGATGTCATTCGTCCTAATGTACCATGGTACTTTGAAAAGTCTTCTCAGAAACTGACTTTGTGCAATTTCTAGCTGGCGAATAGTAGTGTTTAAAGCTTTGCTAAACGCTACACATCCATAAAGAAGTGAGGTTGTCATTCGTTCTAATGTACCATGGTACTTTAAGTCTGACTTTGTGCAAATTCTAGCTGGCGAACAGTAGTGTTTGTAGTCTTTGCTAAACGCCACACAACCATATAGAAGTGACGGACGAATTATTTGGTTATATATCAGTTTCCTGTTCTTAGCATTGAGATTTTTATTTCTGAATAGCGGTTGGAGGTGATGAAAAGTTTTGGCACAGCTAATTCTTTTCAGTTATATATTCTATTCATGTTACTTTGTTCATATATCCTATTCATAAATAAACAATACAATACAAATTTATAATAGCATCCACAATATCCACATTTATTTTAACCAAAAAATAAAACCAAAATGAATACAATTATAGGAAAATGTTAAATTCATAAAGTTTATTTGGAAAACTTCAGTAAAAATGTTCCTTTTTTAATATTTTTTGGGTTCTCATATATATATATTTTTATCCATAGATTTATATATATATATATGTTTTTTTTTTGGATTTATACATTAACTTAAATGTTTAATTAACCATAATTTGAATTGCATTTATTTTTTTTTACAAATTAAAAATGTTTTGATATTTTCATTTACTTATTTCTTAATTGAAGCAGTTGAAAATATTTGTTTTTTGTTTTTGTTTTTGTAAATTTCATAGTTAAATATATGAATCTGTTATATGTTTTTTATATTACTGATTTAACTGTATATATATGTATAATATATTTTTATTGTGTAATGTGTTTTAAAAAAACGCCAACCGGCAATGAAAGATCATGATTTTGATGTTATAAAAAAGAAATGGTAGTTTTATGTGTTCTTATTAATGTAGTTTAATTAAATCATTTTAGAATTAAATTATAGCTCATTCATTTCATTTGAAATTAATTCTATATTTAAAATAAACAAATTAGGCTTTAAATAAATTTTTGAGAAAGCCGGTTAGGTAGTAAAAAATAAACGTTTTTAAAACATAAATTTATTTTTATTTTTTTTACTTTTGTAAATGTTTTTAAATAAATACAATTTTTTTTCTCATTTTGTTTCCATAAGGAAATTGCATTTTTTGTATTGTTTTCAATGATTTTTAGCACATTTATTAAAAATATAAAAATTTATGTGCTAATAGGAAGAATCGTAAAAAATCGAAAATAATTTAAATATATAAAAAATAAAGGACGTTGAGAGGTTGCTACATATATATTATTATAATTAATTTGCAAAGCATATAAATAAGCTTTCATTATTTCACTTACACATACAATTTTTTAAAATTCTTAAATTGTTTTAATAATTTTTTTACAGATTTCTTATATTACTAACAAAATAAAAATAACAAAAAATGCTAGTTTCTCATTATTTTCATATTTTATAAACTATTATTACTAATTTAAAATTTAAAGTTACATTAAAATAATTCTTAATATTTCATTTAAATAAGAAGTTTTAAAAAATTTTCTTTAATTTATATTATTTATAAAATACATAAAATATATGCTACTTTTTTTATTTAATACAACTACATAAATATGTACGTATATTTAATTTATATATATTTTTATAATATTTATATACTTAATAAATATAAAACATTTTAAAAATTATTTCATGTTTTTTCTTTTTTATATTATATTATTATGCATATAAAATATTATTCGAATTGTTTACGCTGATATTAACTGTACAAATGTATTGTTTAAAGTGTGTAAAAATAATTAAATTATTATTCTTGACAAAATTATATTTGAATTTATATTGTTTTCTAGGTTTTTGTTTATATAATCAAAAGTTTGAATAATGTCATAGATTACGTATAGTTAGGTAGCTGTTATTTGGAAAAGTTCGATAGTATTTCGTTAATGTTGATGTATAAGTTTTCTAATTGTTGGTGAATTATTTGGAAAGTACAATAAAAAAGTGTTCTATTATAATATTTTTAAAATCACATATGTGAAGGAAGTACGAGTTTTTAAATATGGAAAGGAAACAGTGATATATTCATTTGTTGTTTAAATTAATGTTAATGTTAATGTTATTTTCTTTACTCACAATTATACAAATAATTTTGAAACGCATAGTGTTTATGTAATTCAGAAATTATATATTTTATTATTTATATTGATTTCTTTTATTCCTATAGCTTGAAGAGAAATCCATTGTAATTGTTATATTCTATCTAACTAGCAAAGAGTATGGTCAGTACATTATAAAAACAAATAATATAATAATAGTTTCAAATAATATAAACTTTTACAAACTTGTATAGAAGGTACTGTACACCTTTTAACATAAAAGAGATAATTATAACTTTATCAAATAAACAAAAAATAATATAGACTCATAAAATAAACAGTAAATAATTTATAATGAATTGAGTAAAATGTATAAAATATATTCCAATTATTATCTATTTTTCCGATCACCTTCAGTCATTATTTGGTAAGAACCATTTTTTCTTTATTAGATATATTCTTTTGACATGATCGCTGCAATAAAACACTTGGTGCATAAACATTTAACATGGAAAGTAAAAATAAATTCACGAAAATAAGCCCATATAATAAGTACATCGCATGACAATAGCTCCAAATCTTAAAGATGACTTAACACATCACTCAATAAGTCGTGTGACTAAGAAAAACTAATTTTTTCTACCAAAAATCGATTTACGATGCCGTGCTTGTAGAAGTATTTGTCTTTTACTTCAAAATAGGCTTCAGTTTCAGCAAATACTTCTTCATTTGAGATGAATTTCCTACCGGCGAGCATTTTTTGAGATCAGCAAATAGCCAGTTCTCGCTGGGGGCCAGATCTGGACTATACGGACATGGTGCATTGTTTTGGTGAAACAAAATTATTTTCTTCGTCATATACGGTCGTTTTTTCACAAATTCTGCTTTCAAACGATCTAGTAATGCCGTGTAGTAGTTACTATTGATGGTTTTCCACTTTTCGATATAGTCAGTGAAGATTATACCATGTGCATTTCAAAATACTGAAGCCATAACCTTCCCAGCTGACTGTTGTGCATTTGGACGCTTCAGCACTGCTCTGAATCATCAACACGTTGTTGTTTTTGAGCTACCGTGAGTAAACACGGCACCCACTTTGAAAAAAAGCTTTCTCATGGTCAAATGTTTATGCATAATTTTAAACACATTGCCTTTTGATATTTTTACGGTCTTAGCTATCTCACGCAATTTCAATTTACGATCAGATATAACCAATTTCTGGACTTTTTTGATGTTTTCTGGAGTAACCATCTCAATTGGACGATCAGAACGTTCACCATCATCGGTGTCTGTTCGACCAGGTTTAAATTCAGTAAATCAATAACAAATGGTTTCTGACTAATCGAAATGTCATGAAATTTTACACATAGTCTTTTGATGGTTGGTACATCATAAACGTGATACGGATTCGACAATTGCAGCGCCATCTGTGTGTCAGTCATATGACTTATTGAGTGATGTGTTATTATGATTGATTTTTAGAACAAAATGGAAAACTCCAGTAAGCTGTTTATTAGTTACAAAAGTTGCGAGTGTTAATGAGTAAATATAAATATTTTAATAAAGTAATTATTTTAATAAACTTTTTGAACATGAGTGACATTTTAGTAATTGTGAAGTTAATTATTTATTAAAAATATTTTAATTTCTGTGTTCATTCAAATATGTAATACATGAATAAATACAAAACATTAAATACAATCATTAAAATAAAAGAAAAAAATTGTAAGACAATTGCAAGTAAAATAAAACAATGTTACATACTGTTCATTTAGCATTAACTAGTAATGTCACAAGTTTGAAAATTATATAAACCTCACCAATAATTTTTTTGTGTCATTCGTTTTACCTTCTGCTCAAAAAGTATCCGGATTTTGTTGTTTATTAGCTACTCCTTAAGTAATAGACCTTTTAAAAAAATTTTTTTTTGTTATGTTGGTACACCCTTTCTTGACATATGGTACAAATCTGAGCGCCATCTGTCAATTAGTTTGTTTACAGCAGCTGTTAATGTGAGACTACCTCAAGTGCATTTAGTGATTTTTACTATGGAAAATTCTTGTTGTACGCGATTTTTTGACCAAACATGACACTACTGTCATCGCTCAGGCACCATATTCGCCAGATCTGGCGCCGTGCGACTTTTCCTGTTCCCGAAACTCAAATTGCGCCTTCGTGTTAAGCGCTTTGAGTCGATTGAATCGGTAAAAGAGAATTCGCCGAAGGAACTAATAGCCTTACCTGCACGGGCCTACGAAAAGTGTTTGGAAGATTGGGTTAAGCGTTGGTGTATCGCTTCAGAAGGAGCTTATTTTGAAGGAGATAAAAAGAATTTGAAATAAAATTTAAATTTGTGAGTTTTGTTTTCAAAATCCGGGTACTTTTTGAGCCGGAGGTATATATTATATTTATATAAAAAACTTTTTTACAAAATTCAACCGCAAATTATTTTAAAATTGTTTTCACATTATTTCTGGATTAGGTAGTGATGCCAAGTTATTTTTAAGCACAAAAAGTTGTTCTATTGGAGCAATCATATCAAAAGAATACACCTATAGAAAAACTGAAATATAAACATAGCATAAGCTATTATCGGCAAAGACGTTTTAAAAAAGATTTGAATTGAAATTTGTATTGAAAGTGAGCATATCTACGAAGCTTGTGAGGAATACATAAATTAGTCAAAGAGAAGGGAGGGATTTTGTAGAAACTCCCCAGCTAAGAAAAAGTAAAAGTGCCCAGTTGCACCAATACTGAAAAATCTCAACATAAGACATTAAATTAATAAAAAATTTATATAATTATATTTACTTTATAAAATATATACCATTAAATTTTAAATAAAAATAATATTTAAGAAGATATAAAAATAAAAAACGAAAGTAAATTAATATCATTAACCTGAAATTTTCCAACCACACCGTGAAGAATTAAAATTTTAATTTAATAATTGAATAAATTTTTTCACTCTCCTATGTAATGTTGTGAGATTGAAATTTAGAAATAACATTTTAGCCTGCAGGTCAATCGTTAAGGGAAGTGTAATATGATCCTATTACTCATTATACTTATATCGCTAACCTAAATTTAATTTTTAAATACATACTTAGTTGTATCGTTGTCCTTATGGGATTTTCTCGTCTTATAAGCCAACAATTATATACATTTATAGTCTGACGTCATCCAATTAATCACAATAACCACTCAAATGCATAATTCCATAACATATAACTCCGTACATACCAGTTTGTATAATAATAATATACCTAAATATTCTATAATTAGCTTAATTGAGTAACGCATCCATTGTGTATGGAAACGGTGGTTGCTGTTGTTTTACTTGTTGTTGTTGCTGCAGAAGGTGATGATGTTGTTGCGTATGCTGCTGTTTGGCATATGGCAATTGCAACTGTTGCTGTTGCTGGAAATGTAGTTCAGTTGATGACGATGCCGATGCTGCCGATGACGGTCAGTCTAATATCACAACTTGCGAATCAATTGGTCTGCTATTCAAGACAGGTTTTATTGGTAAAATGCGCCAAGGTTTTCGCGCCGCCCGACGTATTTCAACCGGTGGGAGCATTTTACGTGCTTTTCTATAAATATTGTTTGAAAAAAGTGTTATATAAAAGTGTTATATATTAATTATTTTCATATTATTTGTGTTACGTACTTGCTTGCTTCATTTGCTCTAAAATAGACATCATCAGGTGCATCCATCCAACTGATGACTTGTTTTCGACCATTACCTGTGCGGGCCATTTGTGCTATTTTCGGTTTACCATTTAACTAAAAAGTTTTTATATAATAAGTATTTAATTAAAATTGTTGTGTCTAGAATTTACATGATGTCTTGATAATGGTTGGCCTGAAGCTGCCATCATAGCTGCAAACTGTTCCGGACTTGGGCAATGTGCCGGCATAGGATCTTTATTAGGTCGCTTAGCTGGTGGTCCAGCAGGCACAATTGTCACTGTAATTGTTTTTACTGTAAAATTTAGTGATCAGTTTAAAATTCATAACTCAATTATTACCTTCAGTGCCGTTCAATTGCTGCACGTCCTCCAATGGACGTTTACGTATTGAAGACGCTGCTGGCGCTGGTATTATAGTTATATCTTTATCTAATTCTATTATTTTGTTTGGTATACGATCATATAACAAACTACCGTCAGGTGCTTTCGGTGGTTTGGGAAATGAAACAACATCGGGTTTAGGCATTTTATCTTTCGGTGTTAACACTAACCATTCATGCGGTCCAATTCCTGGTGAACCTAACCGATTCGCTATTTTTGTTACGCTTCCACGTTCTTTCTTTTTGAACAGAAGTAATTTTTTAATTTCTATTGGTGATTTACCATTCAATCGGTTTGTAACTGTTATAATAAACGTAAAGTGTATTTTATTAAAAATAGGTTACTATATTGACAATATAAATTCATTTAAATACTTACATTCCTGTTTTACTAATTGTGTGTTTATTGCGAAAGATGATTGCCGTGCTGCCTTTTTAGATTTTATAATATTTCTGCACAAAACACGCGCCAGACGTGTCATGGGATTTGTGTGTAAAAAGAAGGCGGTACGTGTTTTCATTATGGGGCGAGGTGACCCTGAACTGATTGCAATACCATGTGCTTGAGCATAATGACGCGCTAAATGCGTTTTAAGTTTAAAATCCTTTCCGCAATTGACTATAGAACATCTGCAAAGCAAAATTTTTTTGTTACATAACTAGTACATTTATTTATTCTTAGAATTAACATTTATGAAAGATATTATTTTTAATCTACAAGCTAACTAATATAAATAATATTAGATTATATAATTTATAATCATAATATAGTAGTTTTACACTGCATAAAATAGCAGTAATGCTTTTTGTAGCATAGATCCATACAAACTTACTTTTTAGTACAATGAACTGATAAAAATAAGGGAACTATGTGCTTTATGTATATAAAAAGGTTTAATAGATGTAAAATGGATACGTACTTATGCATTTGACGGTTGGATAAGTCATTAACTTTTTCATCATCAACAATTTCTATAGGCTTCTTTTTCGTTTCGGTTTCTACAACTTCGTGTTTAATTGAATTTTTTAATCCACCATACTTTTTCCAATAATCCCAACAGTTTTGACATAATCGACTGGACATGTGACCGCTGGCCCAAGGATACCACTGTTCATAGCAAAAAAACAAAAAAAAAGATTAATATTCATACAAATATTTCCATATAGTTTCAAAAAAAAAATAATATTTTGTAAGCTAGTAATATTAATTACTGGCAATAAGATTAATAAGAAATTATACAGGACAATCTCTAGAAGCTTTAATAGCAATTTATTTTATATAGCAATAGTTATTGATATTTTCATATATTTGTTTCAAATCTGTTTATTGACTACTTAAATTATATATATTATAAATTGTAAGTTATATTTTAAATAATTTCCTTTTAAACTAATAGTCGGTTTCAAGTCTACGTCTGGGAGTAAACATGCATTTACATGTTTACACACAACTAAACATCTTCTATTATTATGTTGAAGCTGTTTTGAGCCAGTGCACTTACTCTCTTACTTTTACTCTTTTTTAACTCGAGGTATTTTCAAAATCCCTCTTTACACCTTAACTACATTATTGTTTATCACTTCATCAGACTAAGCAATAATTGACCTCAGATTTGCATACCTTCCCGAGGAGCCTGTAACCATTTTGAGATTTGATAACGCGGTGTTGGTAAGTCTGTCAGTTTTCGCAAATAATTTCATTTAAATTTAAAAAATAATTTATTGCAATCTTATACAAATATTGAAGAATAAATAGTATAACTTTAAAATATTAAAGAACTAAATTACTCATTTACGGCAAGAGTTTATTGTTTTTAAAATCAGTTTTTTTAGTTGTAAATTATATTTCACATCTATATCGGTCCTTCTATAAAATATTTTATGATTGTTTAGAAAATAAATCGTTAGAAAATTAAAGTTGCATAATATAATTTTTGCAGTGTTCATATTGTTTGATGTTGACTGCTGTTATCATATATATAGGCATTATAATCTCTATTGATCTGCATTGCAATAAATGACTGACACCTGTACAAAAAAATGTTAGGGCGCAACTGATGTTTGGATATAACGATAAAAACACATTTTACTTTTTATAACATCGCCTAAATGTGCACAAAAAATTAAATCCCTATTAATGTAAATTAATTTTCTTTTAAACTGATTGTGTGATACGATCTGATGATCTTCCAACTTATTTTATACCTCCTTAATCTTCCCAATCGATTCTATCGTGCAAAATTTTTATCCGTATAGTTTCTTTGGTTTCCGGAACAATTTGAACCATAACAACAATAATAACAAGCACAAATTTCACCCATTTCACCCATGCGTTCTAGTTTCTAAACAACTGTCATCCCTTTTATCGTTCTCTTTCCCAACCATATTCTATATTAACCCATATATTTGTGTTTCTAACTTCTTTCTTATTACCGGTTACATAGCTTTTCTAGGGCTACAACAACAACAAACACAAATTCCCACATCTTTCAAATCTGTACTTCCTTCCATATCCAAAATATTGTATACTGGAATTTTTCTTCGAGAATATGTACAAATGATGCAACTTACTTGTGTGGATTTAATTGTTGAGCAAGACTCGCAAGGTTTACCATTATTGGTAAGATCTGTGCCGCCATTTGTTGTGCCATTGTAAATGTTAGCACCACCCTTGATGGCATTACCACTTTTCGCAGCATTATATTGTGGTACATAAACTTGTTTAAGTTTCAGTTCCGCTTCTACAGCTTTCACACGTTTTTGTTGCACATAACGGTCTGTTGTTTTCCACATATAATAATATTCTATTATTTGTTTTAATGTTTTCCACGGTAACTATAAGGAAAAAATTTTTTTTTATTAAAAGTTATCATTGATTTATATGTTTAACATACAAAGTCTTGCCGTATGTCATTAAAATCTTTGCCATATTTATCTAAAGCTTCCTCAAAGAGATTAGCCTCTGAGGCACTCCAATCTTCGATTTCATCACGACACAGCACAGGTCCACTGGAAGGAACTAAAGAACACATTGCTTCCTCAATAGAATACGTGTGCTTGTGCAGTACATCCATAGCATGAAACTATAAAACAGAAAAATTAATATTTATACTTTATATATATATAAAGTATTTACATACCAAGGTTATATCGCGACTGGCTGCCGCTGCTGACATATGTAACGATGGTTGCTTTACCGAACTACTACAATCTAAAGCACGCGCAAATGTTCCTATCGAACGTGACACAACCAAAAATTGATCTATTTTTCTATCGGTCAGACTATGTTGAGGCGTCCAGACAAGTGTTTCTAATTCCTCCAACTTGCGTTCGTCTGTATTGGTATCTTTCAGTTTCGCAGGTATTTCACTTTGATATCGACTGCCAACACGTATTTCACCTTTGTCAGCGAGTAATGTTTTTTGATTTGGATCAAAAACTAGGCAGTAAAAGAAGGTGTCCTAAAAGTAATAGCAAGTGTTTTATGTTAATTTGTTGAAAATATCAATTAATATAATTTTACTACATGTTAATACATGTTAATACGAATGTTAATAGTTTAAACTATTTTAAACAACAATTTATATTAAAAATGCTTCTATGCTTCTATGTTAATGTTAATGTTTCGACTAATTTATTAGTTGGTATGAAATTTACGACTCACGTCTTTATTCAGATAGCTTTGTAATGATTCAGTTTCATTCAGCAGCGTTACAGAGCACCTTCCTCTGATTTGTGTAGCAGGCAGCGCTTCGACTTGTCGTGATAAAAATAATTCACGATGTTTTATTTGATATCGTTGTTTAGCTGTTAGCGATTCTCCCTTCTCAGATGAACCTACACCGCTTGTTGAATTGACAGGACTCGTACGATCTTCATCCAGGGCTGCTGTAATATGAAATTAATTCATTCCATTTCTTTAACAAATTATTTTATAAAAATTGAGAGACATTACTTTGCAGTTTTTTTTAAATATGAACGAACTTAAATTTAAAGAAAAAAAATAATAACAGAAATCATAAAGTTTTCAGATCGAAACAACCAATTTTATAAGCAAGAATTTCGGTATTTTTATGGAGAATCCAATTGAAATTCTTTTAACAGAATTCTACAGAAATTTTCTACAACTACAAATCATAAATTAAAATTTGATACGATTTTGATTTTGATTTTGCTACAAGTTTACGATATTACGATACTATATGAAGTTGATGTGAATTTGTGATACCTATCGAAGGATCTAATACAGCTTGTGCGGCTTGCTCTTCTCCAACTGGTGTTCTAAGCCAGGTTTTCTTCAACTTCATAGCCAGTGGGGAATCTTCTGCTGTTGCCACTACGTAGTTAAATTTAAATATTACAATGATTTCGTTTTAATTAATATATAAACAAACAAAAAAATAATACAAAATGTGTATATAAATTAAATGCTAGAGTGCACTTACGTTTATAAACATATAGAGCGAAACAACAATTATAGAAATATAAACATTACTTAGATTTTATTTCAGGTAATATATAATATTACAGGACAGTAACATATAATACTTGATTTCTTCCTTAATTTAGTACATCAACCTAACACACTGCATCACTTAGAAACATTCAATATTAATCAGAAATAAATACTATAAATATGGTATATAATAAAATAAAAGCTCATCATTGCGAAGTAATGAACCGTTGCATAAAGTCTGTACAAACCAGATAATTCATTTAGATCAACAAAAATGCTGTTATATTTTCCATTCTAAATATGGTAGACCTGTACTCGAATTAAATAATGATTTCTTAATGCTTCTGTTAACTAACACCTTTCAAGGTTGAGCTTAAAAAACGGTCACATCTCTAGACTCGGTAAAATGCAAAGTAAACCATCAATCTCTCTTAACTGCTCATAGGTTGCGATTGTGAATAAACAAGTGCATTATCTACATCTGATACATCTGACATCTAAACTAAATATCGTCTGTGATCTTGCACCAAAAGATATATTGTAAGGTTAACTTAAATTTGTATATAATAGCTTGGAAAGCTTTCTGCAGGAATACCACAACAGATCTCAGATGTAACATATAAATAATTATATTTTTGAATACTATTAACATTGATAGGTCAGCTTAAATTTGTCCAGGCTATATACGGAAACTGTTTTACAAGCATAACAATTAAAATAGGCTCAGTTTCTAAATCAGACTTATATTCAACTTAGATCTAACAGGTTAGCTTAAGTTTGTCTATAATATTTAAGAAAGCTTTCTGCAGGAAAACCACAACAGCTCAGATGTATAAATTATTATTTTTTTTAATACTATTAGCATTGATAGATCAGCTTAAATTTGTCCAGACTAGATTGGGAAACTTTTTTAAAGGATAACAATTAAAAGAGGCTCACTTACTACATCAGATTTATATTAATTTATCTTAAATTTGTCTTGAATAGCTTAGGAAGCTATCTACAGGAATAATGCAAATAATCTTGCAAGTCGTGGTATTTAATAGTCGTTTTAATATTAGCATTATTGCAATTTTTTCAATAGATTACATTATATACCCAATCTTCAATTGGACGACTACATTGCCAGAAAGCACTGTATACAAACACATAGTTTAACACTGTGTCCAGTATGTAAATAAATAGTTCTTGAATTTTATCTATAGTAACCTAATTACATAGCTAGTTTCATACCTTTATTAACCAAGTATATATGTTAAACAGTGTATTTATATTATTTCTATACCTATTGGACTTAAGTACATCCTAACTCTTTAATACATAACTAATTCTTTAGATTTTTTATTTATTTTCATTTTCACAATGTTACATTTTTTTATACGTATTTTATAACTAATTAGTGTATTTCTAGAATTGATGGTACTCTATTTTACTAATTCAACATTTTTACTCTATACCATTTCTGCGAAATCCTCCAAATTTATAATTTAAACCCCGAAATGGAAATGGAAAATTTTCACATCTGTTGCTAGGGTTTCTCTCAAATTTTTATTTGGCAATTCTCTTAGTTTTTTTATTTTATTTTATTTTTTTAATTTTATAAAATGGTTGTTTGCATTGACAGTGCCAATGTAAGTATTATGGAATTGCATTAGAAAAAATTAAAAAACTTTAAAGGAAAATGGATGAAAACAGGAAAAAATATTGAATACTTTAAAAATGAAAGCCGCTGAATTGAATTCACTCGTCGAAAAGAAGGACATAGTTGGAAAGAGAGAAAAAAAGGTTAAATACAAACTTTTTGAATTTATTTTTAATACCTTAAGTAAGGGGGTGGAAGTGTGCGGGAAATGAATATTATGTGTATTGTATAGATAGAGGAGACGGAAGGGATATGTATGAGAAATGGAAAATGTAAGCGCGTTGTAGTGCAATTGGTGAGTGGATGGAAACCGAAGTTAGCAAACGCATGTTGATAGAAGATTGTGGGAGTCGAAGGAGTTGGGACAGTGTAACTTCGCTGTATTGATATGAATGTAGAAATGGAGGGCCTGAGGTATTATGCTGATGGAGGAGGGGGCACATAGAATGCTCTTATTTGGTTTATACAAACAGAAACCATTCAGATGAGTTTGTGTGGAAATATTTTAGTAGGCAACGAAATAAAATACAAAGGTGGGAGAATGGATGGATGGATGGATGAGTGGGTGGGTGCTAGTCGACAAGCACGAAATATCAAAGGCGTTACATACAATTAACATTAAATATGCGTGTATATATAATATATATAATATTAAAGTAATTAAATTAAAGTAAATTAGATCAGTATTCTTGACTATGAAAATTATTTGTGTGTGTGTGTAATGTACTCCTGTTAGATGAATTCAAATCTTTCAGACGGTTATGCACCGGGTGTTGCAGTATTAAAGCCTAAACTTGCAATTTAATAAATTAAAATGATAGCGACTCACGCTGTAGCATATTTGTGTAGTTGACACTGCGCTTTGTCTATGTTGGCAACTGTCGGTGGGGTCGGTCATGGGCGGTTGGGAGGTTAGTTGAGTGCATATATTTTATACATATCTGTAATTCGAGTTTGTAGTTATGTAGACAAATCCAATCATAGCGGAAACAAACAACAAAACAGGAAGAAAAATTTTTGGTCCTGTAGTTTGTGGATGCGCTTCGTTAATGGCAGTATGGAAGCGGTTCGGTATGCGTTACCAAATGTTTTATATTAAGCAAAGTGCTGAAGGCGGGGGGAGGAGGGGCAGGGGGCGGCGTGCGGTATGCATACGCAACTTTTGCATATGCGTTCTGTATTTTTGTTTTGTTTTTTATTTTCAATTTTTGAAAATGTCAGTTTGTAAATGAGTTTAATCATGTGTTTATATATGCAGAAGCTTGCAACATTTATGATTTTCATGTTTATCCAGCCAAACGCATACACATGCAAGCATAACATGTCGTTAGTAGTGTAACTATCACGAACAAGCGACGTCTGCTTGCCTTTCTAAAGCCGTGGCACCTAAAAGCTGAACTGTACCAACAGCAGCTACAGCAGCAGCAACAATAACAACAACAACAACAACTGCAAATAGGTATAATCGGTCGGTATGCAGTAGTAGGATGTGTTGAAATCATTGTACTGCTTCTGCTTTCCCTATTGCTTTTATTGTTGCTGTGGTTGATGTTGTTGCTGTTTCGTATTAGATGTTGCTACGGATGCGGATGTAAATTCTCTGTTGTTGCCTCTTATTATTAATATTATTGTTGTTGGTTTTGTTTTAGTCTACTGTTGATGCTGTTGATTGCAAAGTTCTGTAACTGGGACTAAACTGGTTCTTGTAGCCAACGTTGGAAGTGCGAGTGAGTCAGTGTCGGCAGTGTCGGCAGTCAGCCATCAACCAGGCAGGCAGTCATCGTCAACGATTCAGTACAATGGGGTGAGGTGTGGAGGGTTGTTTGTATAGTGGTTTTTGCTGCTAATGTTGCTGTTGTTGTTTTTGTTGTCGTTTTACCATTCAAGTAGGTGACTTTTGGTATCCGTAAAGTGAGTAAAACAAGTAAGCTTACACTAGTGCACTCTGCGGGGAGTTGCCTGGGAGGTAGAAAATATTGTTTGCATTTATTAGAAAAGACCCAGCCAAACAGACGCCTACATATTCGTTAAGGCAAGGGACCGAACGTAAGTACGTGAGCACTTGTGCGCCGAATATAAAATTGAAGTCAGTCGTCCTTTTTAAATATGCAAATCGATAATAAGTAACTTATATATTTGTTTTTATAAAACAAAAACAAAAAAAACATATTTTTCTCTTAACGAAAGAAAAATGTTTATTGGAAAATTAACTTGAATTGAATTAAATTCGTACGATTTGGGTAAAACAAAAGAAAACTGCTGAATAAATTAAAAATTTTCTGTTAAATTTGCAAAGTGCACAAGAAATACATATATTTCTGTATGAAATCATAACGTTTTTAAGTCCCAATTTTGTTGACATAAAAAATTGAAACCGAAACGCATGCATATTCGCAATAAATGCCATCAACCCAAGCAGAATATTAAAAAAATATGGCAACGAAATAAAAAAAAAATTCAGAACATAATTAAAAAAAAAACAAAAATATTGCCAAATTTTGCGTCAACAGTTGCAGCAAAAACAAAATAATTAAAAAAATGAATACATTTTGTTGCTCTAAGATTTATTAATATGAGAACCTCATTAGCATCAAATAAATTCCGTCATTACCTGCTAAAATACTCTGTCGTAAGAGTTCTTTAAAAAGTACGGATTGAAGAAATGCTAACATTAATGACATTACTTTTATATGAAAAGAAATATAGCTGGCAAATTGTCATAATATACTCTCTCTTTCTATATCTTTGATTGTCTCGATAGGAGCATATCTGCTTTCAAAATTGTTGAGTGGTTTTTAATAACGGAAAATAAGTTGTTCCAAAATCATTAGGTAAACCTAATTTAGCTGATCATAAGTCACACATAAACCTTCTGTAGGCTAGCAATAACAGATAAAGTAAAGCATCTACTCATGTTTTTAGTAGGGATTTTTTTTTTGTGAATTTAAGAACTCTAAGCTTTATTCTTCTTATATAGATTCACAAAATATTTTTTTATAGACTTTTTAAATCATAATAGAGTCAATAGAATCAAATAAATAATTTCTGAATAATTCATTATATTATAATAATAACTATAGTTAATTCAGTTAATAAATATTAATATTAATAATAATATACCACTATATTATATTATATTATATTACATTATATTATATCATATTATATTATATTATATTATATTATATTATATTGTTTTATATATTATATATTATATATTATATTATATTATATTTTATTATATTATATATCATATTATATATTATATTATAAGTATGTATAATAATTTGAAGGATAAAAAATTATTTCAAAGTTATTTATTTATTGTTCAGATATTAAATGCTACATAAAATTATTAACTGCTTCGTGACTTTCTCACCGGACATTGATTGATAAATTGGTTTCAGTAATGGTAAATCTACTTCTGACCAAGTAGCGTTCGTAAAGGTCTTTCTTTCTCAAATCTTCAAAAATAAGACAAGTCAACCTGGTTGTTCTTTAAATATAAAGCAAATGCACGACAGTTTCAATATTTCGTAGATGCTGGACAGATCTGAACAGAAAACATATATAATACAAGTTTCTCTCGAAATAAATATTTTTTTCATAAATTAACACTTAAATACACATTTACATCAACTGACAGAATATGATAACCACGACATAGTTATGAGGCAAACATTTTATGATCTATTCACAGACACGAAAAATCAGCACAGTAACATATTAAATAATTTTCATCTGTAATCGGTAGGAATTGAAGCTGACAAGAAAGATTATGAGCAGACACAGAAACGAACATCATAATATTAACATACGTTCTCAGCAATAAAATGATGTTCCAATACTTTATATGTTACAGAGTATAAAAAAAATTCTCTCTTATACCATTGAAGAACGATTTAGATAACTATTTAAGATCTAACCAAAAAAAACTGTTTATGTTCTTCTATTTTACTATACTATTTTACTTTTTTTTTCTCTAATACAAATATATTTTAAATTTGTTCTTCATTTCTTTTGTTTAATACAGATTTTTATGTATAGATCTGCAAGATCTAATTCTTTAAGATCTGCATCCAGATATGTTTTATATAAAATTCTTTAATTAAGTATAAAAATATAAAGAGAAATTACTACGTATATGATAGATGGTATTGTACTTACGTTGATGCTTATCGGCTAAAATTACTAATGAGTTTGGCAAATCTCGTCTTCGGTAGAAGCACATTACTTTTGCTTCGACATTACCCGTTTGATTTTTATTTAATTCTTCTATGCGTCGTATAAGATATGGACTGTTTGGAGATGTCTCTACATAGACGTAGTCTGTAAAATAAAAACATTTAATATTTGTTAGTAGCTGTATGATTATAACAATAACTAAAATTAATTATATATAAGAGATTTCAGTTTAGCAATATGCCAATTAAGCGGTTTGCTAAAACGCAACGTATGCTCCTTTCTAAATAAAGTCGTTACCAGAAATAGTTCGACTCAAGAAAGAATTTACAATAGTTATAACAGACAGTCATAACAAATGGCCCACTTCAGTAACGATTTTCCAAACATGACAAAAAAAAGTGGAAGATAATAGTTACAAATTCGAACTTTAGGAAGATATCAATCAATAGTAGCAGAAAGCTATATTTTATATAACAAATATCTGTATTTGAGAAAATCATATATCATAAACTTTAAACCAATTTGGATATATTCGATATAAATCCGAATGATAAGTTGCTTAAGAATTTAGTAAAAGAATGAAGATGGTTTTTAAATTAAGGAAGAAATGAAATCGGACAGTAGTGTAATATAACAGATACTATAATTAGTTGGTAAATGCAGTAAGTGTGTCGACAAAAGTCAATAGCCTTTGTTATACAACACAAGGTATGATGTGAAAGAATATTCTTAAAAGGCAAATATAGTGAAGACGAAGGGTAATATTAAGATGAAAAACTGTACCAATAAAAACATATGTAATATCACGAAAGTTATAATAGTGAAGCAAAGACAAAGATGAAACCGAAGATGAAGACAGAAATACCAAATATTTATTTTTTATAAATAATATTTTAATTAAATTTGGCAATAAAAAAATGTATTAGCGTTCTTGCGTTCCTATATAAATTTATCTATTAACTTCAGCTAAATATTACTATCAGCTTGATCGTAAAACAAGCCTTTCATCTATCCAATCACACTTTTTTCATTTTAACTATATTTGCAACATTGGTGTTGAAGAGCAAGTTAGTTTATTTATATATTGTAATGAAGCTTTTCTAAATTGAAAATGTTTGATCATATCAGTAAGCCATTTAGATCTACAAACTACTAAACTATATATACTTGTTTATGTTTATGTCATATGCTCTAAATTTTTTACAAATACGCAAAACTCTTTTAGGTTCAATCATTTCATTTGCTTGCTCATCTCAACACACAACGCAACCAATAACGACTTTGGAGTGGCATGAGAGGTGGTACAAAAATAAGGAGAAAATTTTTCGATATATTATTATTATGTTGAGGCTATTAAGTCAGTGCACTTGAGCACTTTTACTCTCTATTAAATGCGAGGTTTCTTCATAACATCTCTCTACGCCTTGACTGGATTATTGTTTATCACTTCATCTGAAGCAATAATTGACTTCAGATCTGCATACCTCCCCGAGGAGCCTGTAACCATTCTGAGATTCGATTGGATTCGATTCGACTAATTGTTTAGCATTTATTATATTTTATTCCAAATTTTTTAAAAATTCTCATTATTTGTATGTATTCCGATTTTTTTAATCCATCATTATACTCAACTTCAGATGAAATACATACTATATAATTTTTTTATATATATAGAACACTCATATTTACTATATATATTTTCCTATCAATCTAAATCTATTACAAACACACAGTGATTATTGAAGCAATCGGAATTGCTATAAGGATAGGATTAAGATGTATAAAAAATGTTGTATACACATATAATACATATCTGCTGTATATTTCTATGCAACCTTGAACCGAAGAAGATCTCTCTTACCTGTTTGTGACATTGACTTTCTTTGTAAATTAAAAAATTAAATTACCATATTAAATAGCACAAAAAATTTGAATTGATCATATATAAAACCATATACATAGAATGTCAAGCTACTAGCGTTTCTAATACGCTCAATCTTATCTCAAAATGCAGCTTATCTTTAATAAATTAGTATGATGCAGTTTCTATATCACAATGAGACAAATAGAAACAATGATGCAAATAATTTGAATGTTCTTTTTTGAATAGTGATATTTTATTTTATTTGAAAAAAAAAAAAATAAAAGTTAAGTTCTATATGGGTGGGTTAAACCCTAATCCACAATCTTTATATAATTTAAAAAGAATATTTATGTCATCGCTCAGATCTGGCGAATATGGTGGCCGTACGACTTTTCCTGTTCCCGAAACTCAAATTGCCCCTTCGTGGTAAGCGTTTTGATTCGATTGAATCGGTAAAAGAGAATTCGTCGAAGGAACTAAAAGCCATACCTTTACGGGCCTACCAAAAGTGTACGGAAGATTGGGTGAAGCGTTGGCATATGTGTATCGCTTCAGAAGAAGCATATTTTAAAGGAGATAAAATAAATTTGGAATAAAATTTAAATTTGTGTGTTTTATTTACAAAACTCGAGTACTTTTTGAGCAGAAGGTATTTAGATACGGACCATTGTAACATTATCAGGATATTTTTATTTTTTATTTATTTTATTTTAAATGCTTAGGTAAGCTACTGGGTCCTAATTTGACACTTTAAATTTTAAAAGTAAGCACATAGAAAATAGAAACATAGAAAACATAGAAACTTAGGCCCATTGTACCTTATCTTTTAGAATACAAAGAGCAATAGTCTAACTGATTTTTTTTTATCACACAAGTATGACATGTTGGATCTATTATTTAATAAGTGACTAGAATATAATTATTTTTTTGTTAATTTTGCTGTCATGATTAAAAATACTTAAAAATATTATTAAACTTCAATATTTTTTAATGTAGTAAAAAGTGCTATGATACTAAGAAAAGTGCAACAATATGCAAACCAAATAGTGTTCTCCATGGATGTTGACACTACCTGGACGTCAACCTAACAAGATACTAATAACGAATGTTTTGTAAATGTTTATTTAATGTTTTAATTTACGAAAAAAATAGAGAAACTTATTTTCTTTTCTAATTTGGATTAAACTATCTGAATATTAGAAGTGAAGTTGAGTTATATGTTCGTTTCCCTTCTAAGTGTAATCGTTGATTATGAATGCCAAATTTTCTTTTACTATTCAAACTATAGTAATAACGATTGTATATTGAAAAACTAGAACCATCATTAATTATGACACTTTGAGCACTGATCTTAATTAACCACATTAGTTACAGTCAAAAAGTGGATATTTTTAGAGTGCTGAACGTGTTAGAATACAAACTATAACTAATATATTATGATTTCCGTATGATTTCTATATGATATAAGGTCTGGTAGCAGACTTTATGTTGCTGATAAGTTCCGTGAAAAACAATTTAACTTATGATCCAATTCAATAAAATAGATATGTCTAGATCTATTCAAGTCTACGATGATTTGATGAAATAAGACAATCTTTGCTAAAGACTAAATTCGATTTGAATCAAAATGAAGATGGGGAGGAAACTTCCATTTCCGTCTCATTTCATTCAAAATTTAATAAGCTTTCATCTTTTCATTAAAAGAGCTAAATATTATAGCATGTATACGCTTTCATATAATTCTATAATATCTTATGCTTGGTTCGGGTCAGTTATAGTACAAAATACATAAAAATATGCTTTGTGGCGACTTCCTTCTCTAATCTAATAATGAACAACTAACAAATTATTATCTTTCAATATTTCATTTTCGATCATAAATATAAGAAATTAATTAGTTAATTACTTTATATTTGATTATAAGTTATGCAATTATATGTGAAATACATTTCATACTTTTAACCTTAAGTCATAATTATTGATTAAGGAATGTGTAGGTATGTGTTTAATAATAAAATAGTGCATTTATTTTTATTTATAATTTCAATTAAAATAATTAAAAAAAATCTGTTTTTAAATTCTGTATTCATGTTTGGTATCAAAACATATACTAAATCTAATCACAATATACTACATATTAGTATGAAGTTTGAAGTTATCTTTGGATATTAATAAAATGTTTACCCATAACCCATATGTTTTTACTGTACTTGATTATTTCTATTATTTGAATGGAATTAGTTAGTTGTTGTATAGCAAAGAGTATTACAAAAAAACAGATCTCAGCCCTGTAATTGTAGTGGCTTATATATTATTCATTTATAATTATGACGTTGCAGACACATAATCATGCAGCGTAACATTTTCTACCCAAGCAATAGATAAGTAAACCTGTCGCTGTTACACACACGCACAATCTGCAGATACACACCGCACATTTGGCCAGACCAGATACAAATGCTAGATAGATACCAATAGAAATGCACAGTTTCTACACAGTTCTACCAAAGAAAGATGGGCAAGTGAAGGCATAGCTAAATGTGACACAATATGAAAAATTATTATAAAATAATAAATAATGTATTATAATATAATTTTATAATAATACTGAGTAGAAAAATAAGCTTGTGTTTTTAGTACGACGAATACGAATAACACGTCAAAACAAAAATGAACCGAAAACGACCATTAAAGCAGGTATCTGAGGTAAATGAAACTGGGCAACGACAACGAAATGAATGAGTATCTTTGCATTTCATGGTTTAATATGAGTTTACTGCAATCTAATGGCTGTTTTAATGATTATTTTTTCCCCTGTTTTTTCTTTTCTATTTTATTTTATTTTATTTTATTTTATTTTTTTGAAATGGTAAAACAGACATTAAAATAAATTGAAAAATGTTTAAGCAATAAGCAACTAGTTTCTACTAAAAATTTTAGACTCATCTTCGAAGATTTATAAATATAAAGTTGAAATGCCTTTGAAGGTGTTACAGTAATCTTCTCGAAGTTGTTGGTACTTAATGAGCGTAAATATTTCCAGTTTCTAGTTTAAACTTTAAATACGAAAAGAGTTTAATACGGAAAATATCAATTAGTTGCTCCTTTCGAGAAAATACTATGAACGTTGTTTTTTTATTTTTAAAAATCGTGGGGTTACTTTAGATTAGCTAGAAGTATGGTATATTATGGAGAGAAGACCATTAATGAATTAATTCTATATTTGGCATAATATTTAAAAAGTATCATTATTATTTTAATGAACGCACGAACACTTAAGTATTAATATCAACTATTATAGATAGCAACTTCACCAAAATTCGTAGTTCCAAATGGATCGTTATATAGATATGTATATACATGCAATGCAATCCAGAATAAATACTTAATATATACGATTAAATAAAAGCTTCCTACTATTTTAAAAAATTCAAAAAAATGATATTTTTATGCAGAATTAGTCAAGTTTATCACAGAGAAAAGAATCTGTATTTAAACTTACTAAATTAATTGTATATCAGTTTTTTATCTTATAGTCTAATAGCGCATTTATCAATATGAATTTAAGTTAATTAGGATCGTACAATCTAACAAACAATTGCCATAGAAATACTACACATCAGATACACAATAGAAATATAATTAAAATATTTAACATTTAGTAAACATTAATTAGGACTGAACCAGTTTATTTGTAAACGTGTTTTTTTTTCATATAGCCCAATAGAAGATGCATATATCAAAACGAATTTAAGGTTATTGAGATCGTACACTCAAACGAGGAATTATTCTAGAGATAGATCAAATCATACCAGTGAAGATAAATTGCGGCGATGAAAAAATTTACGAATTTATTTAATTAAACTAATAATAAAAATATAAATAGCCCAAAACTAGACTTTAAGAGCGGCAATATGTTGGAATACATTTTTAAAGTTATAATTCTCATTTAATTTAAAGTTGATCAAGTTATTTAAAAGACTTGAAAGCAAACGACAGTACAAGCTATTTGAAGTACTGTTATAATGATTTTAAGGTTCTAAGTAATAAATCTATTTTTCAGAATTAATAAAATAGTGAAAATTAGATTAAAGAAGATAAATTAGTGCTTGGAAGCAGTTGTTTATTATTATACCAATAATGAAAGCATAAACAGCGCCAAGATAGACTTTGAAAACAATAGCATAACGGAATTAATAACTAGAAGTTATAATTTTTAATTAATTTGAAATTTATATTCTATATAAGGCTTCAAAGCAGTAATAGAATTGATTCAAAACATTGCGATAAATATTTTTATTTTAATTTTTTATTTTATTTAAATATTTTTAGAAGATCACCAAGCTACTAATTCTAAATCATTAAATCTAAACACTAAATCATCGTTTGTACACCCTATTAAGGTTCGATACTCTCTAAGACTTTGTAGGAAGTATATTTGAGTCAACTCGACAAAAAAATTCAGTTTGAGATAGATCTAAGTATATTATAATCTTATATTCGGCATGAATCAAGCAATTAAACAATAGACAGGTTTAATTCACATGTGATAGTTCGTTTGGGTTAGTATTACTGAAAAAAATCATTAGACTATATAAATTATATTTTTATGTAATAAATTGGTTTATTCTACTGATCAAAAAATCAAACTATATGTAAATATATGATTCCTAATATATAGTAAATAAATATTAACCAATTAGTGATAGTAAATAATGGAATTCTTCTAAATGATATTAAATGCCATAGATTATTACAATACAGAGAGAAACGGTGAGGAGTTCAATTGAACTCTATAACACTTTTGGAACACTGTAATGAACATAAACATAATTCTTGGAACGAGCATAAAGCAAGTTTAGGGAGTGTGACCTAAACTTACTGAACTGTAAAGTTTAGAATAATGGTAGGGTAGGTTAGGTTGGAGTGGCGACCTTGTATACCAAAAAAGCCCACTTGAGCTCAAAATAATGATCCGTTGTGATATCACAGGAATAGCGTTGGTGATAGTTCTATCAATCTGGCCAGGTGCTTAACATTGCAGGATGACAGCTCAGTCAGATCGGTCAGAAAAGGGGCCAACAAGATTTTTGATCTCCTATCTAAAGATGGGCACTGACACATGAGATGGAAAACAGTTTTCTCCTCGTTTTTAGAGAATAATAATGATAGCGAGATATAATATTTATTAAACATTTATCATCTTCTGTGTTTTGTTAGAGTTAAAAAATTTTCCATACTTTATTACATCACCGCATTAGAAACAAGAGTCATAACAACCTGTGTCTTAAATATTGATAAATGAAAATATATTATATTAAAAAAAAAAACTCAAAGGGAATATATTGTTTCGAGGATTTGCACAATAGATTATCTTAATTGTTGTTGTTGTAGCCCGCTGGAATCTTTAAAACAGATTACATAAAAGGAATTACATGATCCATGAATATATGGACTAGAATGTGAATGGATAATGGTTGTGTGTAGGGGAAGGTGAGATTATCAGAAAGTGAGATAGAATTCAACCACTTCTAAGGAACGAGCTCAAAGGCAGATTGGACTTAGCTTTGTGAGTGCGTTGGAGCAGAAAAAGTCATGGACGCTATCATTGGAGGTAGAATTCAGTCGTGGTGTATAGTATTCTGCACTTAAAGAGTAGTGTCTCAAGGATACTTTAGTATTAACATATCAACGACGAAGAAAGTATAAAATATTTACAATATCACCAACAACAAAAATACTATTGCAGTACAAGTGTTTCAAATTATATATCGTCCTTAGTGAATGCAATGCATATTATTATGTATTGTATTTAGCCAAACATTTAATAGTGGCAACCAAATTATTATTTTATAAAAAACATTTTTTTATATATTTTTTTTAATTAACAGTAAATTTTTAAGTGTTTAATTGGGTAATAGTTGTGTAATACAACCTGTTTCTGGCGAACGTTCGCTGCAAATTAGTTTTTTTATTTTTTGCTAAATATACTATATGATATATGATTTTCGATCTATAGTTTTATGTAACATATTTCATAACAAAAGTAATATTTGTATACAACATATGAACTTTGAGTCTTAAGATATAAATATTTTAAAACGCGAAGGTTATAGGTTGTGCATTTTAAATCTCTTAACAAAAAATTATAGGTTGCAAATAATTTTATTAGCACTTTTTTTTTATTAATATAATAAAAACAATGAAAGAAATAAATTTTTAGAATCAAACTTTAATGAATCGTCTGTATGCGTAAGTAAAAGCATAGGTATTTATATCCAGTTCATTCAGAAAAGTTCAATGATCTGCAGTGCAATTAAGTCAACTAAATAAATACGATCACACTATTGATGACTGTAATTATAACAACGTTCGTTTTTACAATTTATAATCCTTGCAGAACAATAATTATTTTATTTAATATGCACTTTCGTCACGCTTCGAACGATTTCCAATTAGAACAGCAATATCAATTAAATTGTTTTGCTTTATTTATGATACTTCAACATATTTTGGAAAAATCACTGTGGAAATGCATATTTTAAAATTTTGTTGCCTTTTACTTCATTAGCATTTTACGCTCTTTTTATTAAAATTAGTAACGTCGACTAATACAGCAGCGCAGTCACATCAGTGTAGACTCCGGTGCATTGGCGTATATTAACATTTTGATATTTACTTTTAGGCAATCTTATTTTTTGACCACATCACAATAAGTTTCAGTTTATTTTGAAAATTGTATATTTTGCACTATGTATTATCATTTATTAAAATTATAATGCACTTTCATATCTGGAAACATAGACGGCAGCGCCGCCGACAACGAAAGACAATGCAAGGCAATAGTGAAAATGGAAAAATTTTCTCACCTCCAACTCGATACATGTTCGACATTTTCACTAAATTTTCACATATAATTTCACATGCAAAGTCTTCACTATTAGTTTAGTGATATATTTTAATAGTTTTATTTATTTTATTTTATATAAAATCCATTAAAACTTAATTTGTTATGATTGCACTAAGACGCGTTTTTTTCCTGTTCGCCATCTTAAAAATTACTATGAGAAAAAATTTTGTTTCTCTGTTTTTTGGTTTTCTTCTTGCTTGCATTACTTGTAAGGTTGCATTTTTTAGTAATTTTGTTGAATATTTTATTAGTAAATGTCATTCTACTCATATGTGCATGACAAGTTCCTATGTTCCTATCGAAACATGTTTAATAATAAACTCTGAACTGTGTATGGGGCTGTATAGAGTATTTTTGTACAGGCAGTTCAAAATTAACATATATATATATATATATATAAATGATTTTAAATTGTGACAAATAGTATAATATGTCGGTATGGCAGCGGATGTTGGTATTTACTAAAATTTCGAGTAGGGTAAATTAGGTAAAAATTAGGTAAATTAGATGTTATTATTGTTAAAATTTTGTAGAAGGTTTGATAAATAAATAAATTTAAATGCTTTTAACCAAAAACTATGAATAACGGCAATAAATAAATAAATAAATATTTACATAAGTGCAGTGTAAAAAATCCCTAGAAAATTTCAATTTACTCGACTCGCACACGGTCTAAATATTAGTTTTAATGAATGAAGGTTGAAATAGTTAACTCAAGCATGATATATGTGATGCTACATAAGAATACATCATTAATATGATCAAATTAGCTTTGAGAAGCGTATACAAACAAAAAAACTGAAACTTTTCGAGACTGCCAATATTTTTCCAATATAATTTAAATCGATTATTTGAGAAAAATATTATTTTACTTTAAAATGCAATTACATATAAAAGAGATATTTTCAACTCTACGATTTGTGTTTATATTGACAATAACAGTTGCTCCATATCGTGAGATATATAAAAGTTTAATAATTAATATTTTGCAAATTTCTTTATTCTTTAATTTAAATTAGTTTTGTCTTTAAGAATATTCTAATCTCAATCGAGAAAACTGCTAGTATTCATAATATTTTTAATGACAAATTTCGTAATATGTATTTATAAAAACTCTTATATATAAGATGTATTGCAAAACAAATGTATTATACATGTATGTTATATATTTTGTGATAATTAGGAGAAACTTTATTGTTGATAACAGCATTTATTATGTATATATACAAATTTTAAACTGATAGGAAATAATTTTCAGAACATTGAAAACTTTTTTGCGTGCGTCAGAATTGTTAAATCGGACTTTTTAACCTATCTTAGTGCCACCCTAGGCATACTGTATTATCGACAATTGATTTTGTTGACAGGTCAGTGACGACAGTGACGTGGCTAGGCTAGCAAATTTTCCGACATTTTGGCACAGCTTTATTATTTAATATAATAAGTTGAAAGAATTAGCGGTTGTGGTTAAAAAATTGCCTTTTTATAATGACCACGTATGAAGAGTTTATACAGCAGAACGAGGATCGTGATGGCGTGCGCCTTACATGGAATGTTTGGCCATCTAGTCGAATTGATGCAAGTAGGATGGTAGTACCGCTGGCGTGTCTCTACCAGCCACTAAAAGAGCGACCAGATTTGCCACCAATACAATATGAACCAGTGCTATGCACTCGTGGCAATTGTCGTGCCATATTAAATCCTCTCTGCCAAGTAGATTACAGAGCGAAGCTGTGGGTTTGTAATTTCTGTTTTCAAAGAAATCCAGTAAGTGTGTAAAAATATTATAATTATATTTTGTAAACATAATTTTGTTGTATATAGTTTCCACCGCAATATGCAGCAATATCTGAACAACATCAACCCGCTGAGTTGATACCAAGTTTTAGCACAATCGAGTACACAATTACACGAGCGCCCTGTATGCCACCTGTTTTTATATTTTTAGTTGATACATGCATGGATGAAGAGGAATTAGACGCATTAAAGGATTCGTTACAAATGTCTTTAAGTTTGCTGCCACCAAATGCATTGGTCGGTTTAATAACATTTGGTAAAATGATACAAGTGCACGAACTGGTGGTTAAAGGTTATTCCAAAAGTTACGTTTTTCGTGGTACAAAGGATTTGACTGCCAAACAAGTACAGGAAATGCTTGGAATTGGAAGAGGTGGTGGCGTTGCGCCTGGTGGACCAGGTCAACCAGGGCAACAAATGCCCGCACCTGGGCAGCAACGTGCACCTACTGCCGCTGCTCCGCCTGTAAATCGTTTCTTGCAACCGATATCAAAATGTGATATTGTATTGGGAGATTTATTGAGTGAACTGCAGCGTGATCCTTGGCCAGTACCTCAGGGCAAACGTTACCTGCGGTCTACTGGAGCTGCTTTAGCTATTGCTGTTGGCTTGCTCGAATGCACCTACCCGAATACCGGTGGGCGCATTTTGTCATTCGTTGGTGGACCTTGCTCCCAGGGTCCCGGTCAAGTAGTCGATGATGAACTAAAACATCCAATAAGATCACATCACGATATACATAAGGATAACGTTAAATTTATGAAGAAAGCCATTAAACATTACGAAGCGCTGGCGTTACGTACAGCTACGAATGGTCACTGCATAGATATATATTCGTGTGCATTGGATCAGACAGGTTTAATGGAAATGAAACAATGCTGTAACTCTACCGGTGGTCATATGGTTATGGGTGATTCGTTTAATTCTTCTTTATTCAAACAAACTTTTCAACGTGTGTTTGCGCGCGATGCACGTGGCGATCTTAAAATGGGTTTCAACGGCACGCTGGAGGTAAAGTGTTCGCGTGAGCTAAAGATCTCTGGTGGGATTGGCTCGTGTGTGTCATTGAATGTGAAGAGCCCGTCGGTATCGGACGTTGAAATTGGCATGGGTAACACGGTGCAATGGAAATTATGCACGCTGAATCCCAGCTCGACATTAGCATTCTTCTTCGAGGTGGTGAATCAGCATGCAGCACCAATGCCACAAGGAGGACGTGGTTGCATACAGTTTATTACGCAATATCAGCACCCAAGTGGACAGCGACGCATTAGAGTAACCACATTAGCAAGAAAGTAAATCAATAACAATGATCAGCGTAACTTTAATATTCTAATGAAAAATTTTCCGTTTATGTAGTTGGGCCGACGCCACAACGAATATACATCATATAAGCGCAGGATTTGATCAAGAAGCTGCTGCTGTTATAATGTCACGAATGGCTGTTTATCGTGCTGAGACGGATGAGGGTCCCGATATATTGCGCTGGGTGGATAGGCAACTTATACGTCTGGTATGTAATTATTGTAAATAATTTAAGTAAAATAATATTTTGTCTTTCGTACTTTGTTTTATTGTAGTGTCAAAAATTCGGTGAATACAGCAAGGATGATCCAAACAGTTTTCGATTGGCGCAAAACTTTAGTTTGTTCCCACAATTCATGTATCATCTGCGTCGTTCACAATTCCTCCAAGTATTCAACAATTCGCCTGACGAGACCACATTCTATCGACACATGCTGATGCGCGAAGACCTTACCCAATCATTAATTATGATTCAACCAATTCTATATAGTTATTCATTTAATGGTCCACCAGAGCCGGTGTTGTTAGATACATCATCCATACAGCCCGATCGAATTTTGCTGATGGACACATTCTTTCAAATTCTGATATATCACGGCGAAACAATAGCACAGTGGCGTGCACTAAAGTACCAGGATATGGTTGAATACGAAAACTTCAAACAATTGCTGCAAGCACCTGTAGATGATGCTCAAGAAATACTCCAAACACGGTTTCCTATGCCTAGGTATATCGATACTGATCATGGCGGCTCTCAGGCGCGTTTCCTCTTATCGAAAGTGAATCCTTCACAGACACACAACAATATGTACGCTTACGGACAGGTAAGTTTTGTTTTAATTTCTTCGGCTTTATATTCCATTATTTAAATTTATGATTTAATATTTTTACTTCTCTTTTTGTTTTTGTACCTGTTTACGTTGTTTTTTGTCAAATTAATTTGAATGTTCTTAAACATTTTTTGTGTTTAAACTTCAATGAAATGAAATGTAGCCGCCAATTGGTCAATCGACGGTATTTATAATTTTATTTTATTTTATTTTGTTTAAGATTTTGTCAACATTTTTGGTGCTGGTTAAGGTCTATATTTCTTATGACCTAATTTAATAACTTTTTACAAATTCATTGATCATAAACCCGAAATAAACATTTGGTGATGGTGTGGTGTTTGAATAATGATACCTATAATTTTAGCTATAGTAATTGGGTTGTATATACTGAGAAACTAACGACAATTTTGGTATATGTTAAAAAATAGTTTTAAGATACTTCAAAATAATATTAAATTTATCGAGATAAAGGGAGTGATGTTTATGTTTGAGTGTGAAGTACATTAGGTATAGTGCCAGGAGATCTAATGTTTTGTTCCCAGGAGTTCTAATGTATAGGGTTGTCCTATAAAGCCTTGTTGCCTTTAAAAACTCAAGCTTGTCGGCGAAAATTTAGTGTTGTTGATTTTTGTTATAACTTAAATAAATGTACTGCGAGCAAGAGATTTATGAATATGGGGTCTCCTAGTGAAAGGAAGCTCTGTAAAATCAATACCAATCTTATTGCTCTCAAATAATTCAAAAATGTTGGCTCGGTTTTCTATTTGCGAGATTATTAATTCTTTATCTGATATTAACATTGTTCTCAAGTATTTTTCTATGCACCGCATTTTTCGAATACAGTGGCCCAGGTTATTTATTGTAGTAACTACACATATGATTTGATACAATGACTGTGCTGTGCTGTCTATCGAGTCTAAAGGTTTACTCATCAGCGCAGTTATCATTATTATTCTGTTGTTTGACACACTAACATATAACTTTAATATTTTAATCAAAAAAATTAGCAAGAATTTTCTTCTTGATCCCTTAGCGCTTCTATATATATCCCATATATCTCTACCTTTCCTGAAATATGATTTTGACTTTGTTTTAGCAACGGAGGATTTCTTTTTGGCAAATTTATCAGATTGCTTAATCTTTTGAATCACTATATTCCAAAAACCTAGTGGAAGATGATTTTGTTGTTTATTCTTAAGACAGTCCCATACTAAGTTGGAATCAACATCGTACGAATGGCAAATTAGTTCTCCAACGGCAGTTTAGAACTCTAATGCCAGTTTGACAGTCCGATTATATTTGTAACTGTTTTAAAGATAGCGAAAATTTCTATTTAGAATGTGTTGAATATATTCTTATGGGTTTTGTATATTTGGTTCTTGACTCAAATTACTCCTGTCACAGTCCCACTTCCAAATTTTGACCTATCCGTATATCATAGGTACTAATAATATCATATTATATTATATATTATTCGTATCTTCCTTGAAAGTATACGTTTTTTCTTTATTGGTATTTAATTTCACTGCGAAGCGTTTCTCATAGTTGGTTTCCATTTTTGTTTTGTAGTCAGTCTACCGGAGAGTTTCCGAATTAGGAACTTAAAGGGTTCCAAAATTTTCTTGGTAACTCCTGTCTTTCTTTTATTACCTTTAATACGTATTGTAATTATCAGTGATACTTTTTCGTACAAATTTTTATGATCTTGTAATGTACGTTACACTAATATGTATTGTACATATTTATCTATTTTATTGTCTAAGGGTGGGAATATAAAAAACTGTGTTATAAGAATAAGATCCGGTTACTGCGCTTTATATCAGATCAACAAACTCTTTCATTAAATGTAATGTTTATTAAAAGTGCCAAGAAGATAAATACTACATTTTATATATGCAGCAGTCATAACGACGATTAAGTACAAAAGAGCAAGTAACAAGTTCTTTGTGGTCGGTCCTATTGTATATAAGAGAGAGTACGTCGTAGCTGGTTGGTACTTGCTATCCACTGTCGGCATGCACCGTTATAACTGCCGGTGTCTAAAATATTGATATTATTCTTGAAAAGATATTGGTACTAGTCCTTGCGAAACAGATTAAATATTTTTCAGATTCGTATTGTTGGGTTGAGAAACAATGGTCTAATATTAATACTTTTGTACATTATATTAATACATATTATAATTTTCAAATCAATGAAGAACCATATCACATTATTAAGGTTCATCGTTTCTTAACTATAAGGAATTCCAATAGTGACATAAAGTTTATGGTACAAGCATGCATACTGTGTTCAACTTTCGCATCCATTTAATGTTCATATTTTTCATAACTTAACTATTTTAATCTATAATCTCATTCTTAATCCTTTTCCTTCTCAATCGCATTATTCATATAATTTAATAATTTTTTTATCTTAACAAAGATACCTTTAAACCCTTTCTAATATATCTTAACTTAACTTACATTTATTTAATTATTCTACATATTTTTCCAGGATGGAGGTGCGCCTGTACTCACTGATGATGTTTCCCTTCAATTGTTCATGGAACACTTGAAGAAGTTGGCCGTATCATCAACTACATGAATTAGACTGTGGAACCGAGTTAAATTTTATTTTAGAAATATCCTAGCATTTATAAGAAGACGCTTAATGCAATGTTGGTCTGTCGGAACTTAGTGTTTTCAGTTTTCAGTTTTCTGTTTATCGTCTATGTTGTTTTTTTTTTTAGAAAAGTTATTCAATTACAAATATAAAATATATATAAAAATACATTAAACTTCCCCTAAAATAATATAGTGCGCTTATATGTAATTAAACAAATTTATATAATATAATTAAATATAAATGAAAACAAATGCAGATTTGTTGTTTGTTAAATTCTGACTTCTGACTTCAGTATATATTTTAACTTTATGCAATCTTTATGCAAATACATAATAATTCGTAAATACATCAATCTTTGTGCTTAAAACTACTTGAAAAAGACAAAAATAAAGTTTAAGTAAATTGAAAAAGCTTCAAATAACTTTACAAATGCAAAATAGCAAAAGCAGAAAATTATAGAAAAAACGGAATGAAATTATGCTATTAGAATTTAATATCAAAATGTGTTTGCTTTGACGAAATAATATTAACAAGGTTAATTAATGTACATTAAAAATAATACTTTTCTAAATTCAAAAGTAATTAATTGCCTGCTGCTCTTTGATCAATTTTTCTAGTTTCATTATGCGATTATTATAATTCCATGCCTATGGCTTTTTTCACTAATTTAGAAAACGGATTGACATTTTCTGTTCCACATCGGTACGTTCCAGTGCCTTGCAAAAATCCTCAAAAGAAATTTTCCCTTGGCAACACAGATCGGCTTCTAGGATTGTGCGTTCAGCTATGCTGATCAATTGGTCCTGACTTATATTTGCTCCGACCATCATGTGCAATATGCTCAGTAGTTCGTCCCTACTAATTACGCCATCATCATCCAAATCGTACATTTTGAAGGCAACTGAAAGTAGTGCAAAGAAATAATTCATTTAAAATTATATATATGTTATATGTGTGATATATAATAGAGTATCAGATATTTAAAAGCCTTCATTAGGCAGGTGCATAATTTGAATATAAACCAAAAACTAAATTTTATAATGAGTTTGCTATTTAGCAAACTTTCGCAGGCCTGGTTGGATAACCATTTGTTGGTTACTCAAGCAGGTAAATGACAAATTTTCAATCGCACAAGATGGTTGGAGAATTGAGCACTTAAGAAATATTACTCGTATTGATTATTATTAACAATTATTATTATTAAGACTAAGATTAACCATCAATATTAAGACTAAGATATTGTAATTCAATAGTATTTCCTTGAATCTAGATTTTGGGTTATCATGGGTTTTCGGGACATGAAACTACCATATAGACTGACTTTATTTTTAATAGCACATAAAATGAAGGTTATAAAGTTATAGTCTACCAAATAGAGATGGCTTATATTTTTTTAATATAGGGTAGGATAAAACCAGGCACCATAGTCAGTTGACAACTGTACGTGAACCCCAAGGAAGAATTTAGTACCTAATTAAACTACTCTAATCCGAATTTCGTAGTTTCTTTGATGAATCAAAAAAAAAAATCGCGTAGAGAGAGAGAGAGAGAGAGAGAGAGAGAGAGAGAGAGAGAGAGAGAGAGAGAGAGAGCGAGAGAAAGAGAAACACGACATTATAATATAAAAATTTCCATTTAATTATCCCAAATGCTGGACAATAATGGACGATATATGTAGTTTTTTCAAAATTTATTTTATTTCTTCCGCAGAGAAGCTTATGACTTGAAGACAGCAATAGGGCAGACTGTTTAGCCAAAAGACGCGTTGAGAACCCCTTTATTAGCATGGAAACTTTGTATAAGGTAAACAAGCGCTTTTTAAAATAGCTTCATTAATTCTTGTGAAGCTCAGGAAGACAAGCAAAAAGACTAATAACACTTCACACGTTTATGACGTTTATGCGGTTCAACGCAGAACAATTTTTTCTATTAGGAGACGGTAACTTGGAGCCAATCATTTCAAATAAAATGAATCCAATAAAGTTCTGAGGTTTAGAAATACTCTAGAACTGCTATAGGAGCTAAATAACGCAATTTTCCGTAAATCATAATTTTAGTATATTCTTTCTTACATTTCAATTTCTCTTCTCGACTGTTTAGTCTGTTTTCCTTTTTCACTTGTATCGGCCTGAAATGTGCGAGCACATTCATGAATTGTCTGAAATTTACACGATCATCTGTGCTGTCGGCAAAGAAGGCATGAACAATTCGTTCGCATAATGGGTTAATTGCCAATTCTGGTATTCTGAGGAAGTCATCACGAGACAATGTTCCACAATCTCCGCGATCCAATGAAGTAAACCGGGAATATAATCGCTCAATTTGCTTTGGTGTAACTATAAAAAATTAAAAAAATATATTAGCCATATTTTCTAATATTAGTTTAAATATAAAGATGAAAAAGTGATTAGTGGAAGTTTAAGGAGTTTTGTCACATCAAAGGGATATAACAAAAAAAAAACAAAAATGAATCGAAGTCATTGCTTTGTTTGTAGATGAAAACAGATGGGTAACGTTATAAAGAACAGCCTTGCAGTTGTGTATATGTGACAAGTAACTCTTTAGCATGTGACTATATTCTGCAGACATAACAGCCTTGGTTCCATCAACCTGGATATAAACGAAGTATCGAAGAAGACAATGCTAAACTTCATAGGTTTTAGAAGATAAAGTTATCATAGGATATCTGAAAAAACATTTTTAGAGTAGTCCTCAATAAGACGTTTATCTTGAAATGGATATTATCTTTTTTCTATCGTATTTCTTGTTAGTATTTTTGTGATGAATTATATGATCAATAGACGATTAAGTTATAGAAAACGGAAGAGATGAATGCCCCTTTAACATTAATGTCGTCGAGTGACTTTGAAATATACTTAGTAGTTTTATTTTCATTTTAATAGCATCAATGTTTTAAAGCTCATATTTTAATACAATGAAACAGATTGCAATTAAAAGACAATATAACTTATTAGTAGTCATATGTCACGCGGTAGGTCAAATAATTATATATATATAGTATTTAGTATTTTTTATTCTTATTTAAAAGCATGACTAAGCTGCATTTCCTTCCATCTTCTCTACACCCGTAGACACCAATTTTCAATTCCTTTCCTTATTTCAAATGTTATCAAGTTTTTTTGTTTTAATAATAATCAAATAATTTTAACATTACGCAAATGTATTCATTTGATAATGGCATATAATTATATTTTAAGATAATTTGTAGAAACCAAACTATGTATTATTTTTTCAAATTTGTTGGACATTGTCTATAATGAATTTTAAAGATATATGGGCTAGCTTTCTCGTATATTATCAGTGATAAATATATGTTAAAAATTTTCAGATAAACAACAGAACATTTAATTTTAAAGCAGGTACTAATTAAAAAACATTGATAACGATTGTACTTTGATAGTCAGCAAGATATAAAATAATTAGACTATGAAAAAATGCTACGATTTCCGTACAGGGCATATTTATATTATACATCTGATTCATTATATATATATAAATTTTGTTTTAATTTGATATTAGTTCTATAAGTATTAACCAATAAGGCTAAAATAAAAATATATCTGCATACTAAATGTTTGCTCAAAATTATAAGAATAATTTATATAAATAATATATATATCTAAAATGATTATATAGCCAACAAGCAAGATTTATTTATTTAAGATTTATATAATATAAATGTTTACAAAAACAATATAAATAAATAATTATAAAAAGAATATTTTATTATAAACTACAAGATATATACTCAAGGAGTATAGATCAAAACAAACGTCTTGAAATGAAATTTTATCTCTTAGTTTTAGAGTATAATAATATGTCACATTATTGGATATAGAGAATTAGTTATTTTATTTTATTTATTTATAAATATTAGAGTATTTTAATCTAAAATTAAATTTTTATATAAAGTAAATATAACGTTTATTATTATTATGCCATATTATTGCACATTCCACAATATGTAATAGTGTAGCAATTACAAATCTTACAAGTTTTGTTATGTCTAATAGACTAAGTTTTTCAATTCCTCGAAGTAGAAACCTAACGACCTAAATTTATGTTTATTTAATGGCATACCCTCATCTTTATGATTTCTACAGCAATATCTACTAGGAATATCCAATCTAGTCATGTGTATAATTATGAAATAATGAGTTTGTACTGATGGATATAAGCAAATAGATATATAGGTTCGATTAGGTGGGGTGGTACACCACGCTTCATTTGAGCACAAATAATAGCCTGTTGTTATACCACGCACAGTGACGCTGCTTTTATGCTAGACTTAGAAAACCATCAAAATAGGTATAAAGATCAAAGCGGTTAACACATAGACAAGGTCGAAATATAGGTTTTTTTGTTTTGTTATATATTTTATGTTAAAGTTTATTGAAAGAATGGTATGTTCTGTCTGCCTGTTACTATAGACCTGGTTTGTTCTATCTGCCTGTTACTATAGAACTGGTTTGTTCTGTCTGCCTGTTACTATAGACCTGGTTTGTTCTGTCTGCCTGTTACTATAGACCTTTGAAATTTCTTTTATAATTGAAGACATTAAAAATAAATGACTAGATTCCTATTTTTGTTATTATTAGTTTATTAGAAAGAGTAATATCGCCGGCTTATATATAAAATCGAGATTAATCCATATTAAATATGAGTTTTTTTATATGAAAAGCTAAACTTTCAATTAAAATCAATATAATTCAGGTAAATAATGACTTAACTGAAAGAAAGTAATAGAATATAGATCTGTGTTATATTCCGTAGAGATCTATATAACGACAACAATCTAATTATGTATACAACACCGCAAATCCAATCATAAATAAAATGCCATAAAACGTTCACTGTGAAATACTTTTCACATAACATATTTTAATGACCTAAAAATTATTGTTTTAGAAAACAGTTTTATTGTTAAGATAACAACACTGGAAAGATAAAACTTTAACCTTTTATTTATACAATTAACCTTGTAAATAATTTCACTGAGTCTACTGCACGCTTCACTGCGCTCCCTTTGTTCTGTTATTCCGAAAATGAACTTCTGACGTCAGCGTAACAAAAATATGGAAT